ACAATCCTTGTGCTACCATTCCAGACAGCTTCTGCGCTGGACCCAGTTGCTGAATGTCTCCACATCCTACACAAGTGGTTGATGAAAATGCTGAGGTACATGGCATGGAGAGACTCAATTTTCATTTCACCCTATTTTTTTTACTTCAACCTTCCTGATTAGTCTTTTTCCTTTGCTCATTTTCTTTATTAAAATTGATATATTCAAGAATATTTCTTTGTATTACTCCAAATTTTAGCTAAGCCTGTCAAGCTTATTATGATCCATCTCTACCTTCAAAAGGAAGCCTGGTCATAAGATTATCAGCCTCTTATTATGCTAAGATTTGGACATCTGGAATAGGTTTGCAGAAGTTGGGATTTGTTACACTTAGTTTCTTAGGAATGTTGGAAGGCCCAAGGGCTCGCAGGCAATTGAAATACTTTCCCAAACTTAATTGGGCTTGAAACCACACAATTTAAAATGTGAGCTTTTTCACATTTTACTATGATGGCATGACTTGCCTGTAGCTAACAGTTACTTCACATTTAAGTCATTCTGATCAATAGGAAATCTGTTTCTTGAATGCATGTTGGTGTGGCTATCCACACATTTAAAGTTCATTCTAATTAGGTGATAAATTCATATCCCAATGGTGGAGATCTTATGATATTGTTCTAGGCAGCAGTTCACCATCCACAGGTTTCAGTTTTCTGGTTAAATTCTGGCAAAGCACGTCATTTCAAAACATTACTAAATTGATCCATCTTAAGATGCATCACTTCACCTCAGGATATGTTTCTATTTAGTGCATACATTTTTTGTATAACTTTATGAACGTGGCTGTCTTCTGGGTTGTTGCGCCATGTTGTCTGGTAGACGTTTACCAATGTTTCAGAAGTACTTGCTGCCTTTTTCATTATGGTGATGAGTAAGCCACATGCATGGTATCAGTTTGAGATATGGGTACCAATTAGACATGGTAGACCAGTGGGGAAGAAGGTGAAAGCAAGAAAGCCATTAGGAGAAGGGAGGAATGAAGACAGGTGTAGCTCAGACATGCAAGGGAGACAGGAAAGTAATTACCCTTATCAGGGCCCCTTGGGGACCAGTGGGGGAGATCACAAAGAAAATGAGGATAAAAAGAAGAAAGGACGAGGGATGTATTGAAGGATAGAAGGATGGAAAAGGGGAAGAATACAGGAAAAAATTATAAGGAAAGGATAGATCTGGGGAGAAAATTGTTTACTCAAATCTGTCAGCTCGCATTTCTGAACGCATCGCTCTCAGTTCACTTGTTATAATTGATCCTTTCATAACTTCTCATCTACCTTTCCCTCTCCATTGTGATAAAATACCCATAATACACCTGCCACAAAGAATCTCATCTCTGATGGTTTTTCGTAGTCAGTCTGAGCTTTCTAGAATCCTGGCATCCATTTAATATTGTGTTTCAAAATTATTTACTTTATTGATCTTGGATTCTGACAACACAAATTAGTCACAGCTGCAACTTGTTTGAAGTGGACGTCTTTTGAAGTGGGTGCATAAATGAGAGGCTAGTTATAATGTCAGCAGTGGATATAAGTGTGGTTACGGATGAATGCTGCTTTAGATGTAACCTCAAATTACTGTAGATAACTGAAGTACATAATTTTAGTGTTCATTGAGGTCTTTAGAAAAAAGAAAGACAGAAAGAAGCTCTGGGAAAAACTTAAATTGCCTACTTTTCTTTGTATGTTTCAGTCTGTATGGTGTGACTTTGATGAAATGAATAATTATATTATGAAGTGAACCATTTCTGTGCATAATTTCTACTAGTATAGGTTTGAACTATTCTAATTTCTCATCTAAAATGTTCACATTTTCACTGTGTTTTATTTCATACAGAATCTCTATATGTGTTTATGATTTGTTTTTGTTTCACATTATGATTTGTTTTTGTTTCACATGATGATGATTCATTAATGAACATCGTAAGCCTGAAAGCTAAATATACATTTTGTGTGGGTGTCATGTTGTTTCATATTCCCCCCAAAATTCCCTTTACTAACATTGCAAAAGTTATTGGTGTTGCTCCCACCTTGCAAATTCACATTAGTGCCTTATCAGTATTATTGATAGCAGGAAATTAAAAAGTTTAAAGTTTTGGTGGTCTCTTGTGGCATAATATTCCTACATAATTTCTTGAAAATCTATCAGTTTATTCAAACATTGTTTTGAGAGGACATAAAAACACATTATCACATGGACATGATATAGTAAGCTTATGTTTTAATGTAAAATAAGGAAAGTAAGCTCATAACATTCTCAATTCACAGATCTGTCAGGAAGAGGAGTTTCTGCAATTAACAGCAATCCAGCTTGTGGCTCTCATCAAAAAGGACGAATTGAATGTGCAGGAGGAACGTGAAGTTTACAATGCTGTGCTGAAATGGGTAAAATATGATGAGGAGAAGAGGTACCCTAAAATGGAACATATCTTACATGCAGTCCGATGCCAGTATCTCACACCAAATTTTCTTCGTGACCAAATGAAAAACTGTGATGTACTCAAGAAACTGCCTGCCTGTAGAGAATATCTGGCTCAGATATTTAAAGTAATGTGTGAAGCTCTGTATTTTATAAGTAGTTAAGTACTTTAATCATCTCCATATGCAAATGAGTTGCCACCAGCATAGCAGTATTTTTTGTAACCTGTTCCTTGAATAATGGAAAGAAATTAAAGATTAGAGCATGTTATATTCCACCCTTTTTAATTCAGACCCTTTAAATACATTATTGCACTCCAAATTAGCATCTGATGAAGCATTTCTGAAATGTTGAAATTACAGGAGACATTTTTAATTTGAATCATTTTTCAGGACCAAAAGCACTATGTGCATAAAATGTTTTCAAAGAAAAATATCACATTTCACATGCAAGTACATTAGACTAGAAACACACAGAATTTAACTAATCACCATTCTTTATTTCTTGCTCACTGAGAGATGTCACAGTGCATATTGCTTCTTGATGTTGTGGCCTTGTAAGAGGATACCAACATTTTGAGGAAACATCTCTCCATCTTCATGGTTACACATTTTTCTGAAACATTTATATTTGCGGACAACTCTGCATGACATCTAAACCCAAAAAGAACAACACTGACATCTTTACTGGCATGAGAACATCAAATCTTGCATGCATATTTTTCTTTGTCTTTGAAATTATTTATATTACTTGTTCAGGGATGTGCACTAGGCAGTTCCAGTTGTGTTTTACATAACGAGATGGAAAGAAGTGTTATAATAAATGTTTTGGTCCTGCAGTATTTTTAGTTGCGCTGACAGACATGGTTTGAGTCTGAAAGACTTCATGTTGATGTTTAAAACAAGTGAAAGAAATTCTCTGGAGTTTTGGCATGTAAAACATATTGTATGTATTGTGGAAGTCCCTCCCCCTTCCCATGTTAATAGAACTGTATTCACATTGTAGGATTTTAGGTTTTTGTGGCGATATGAATATGGATAATGTCTACCTGGTTGTTGTACCTCACAGTATTCTAGCTGTATGCCAACATTTCAGATGGCCATACTACCAGTATGGCAATATTTATTCATACATTCCATACTGTACAACCACTTTTTCTATAAAATAGATACCACAATATATAAAGTGTTTATTTCTGAGGAATTATGATATATACACCAAATCACCTCAGGAAAGTGCGGATTGCCGAAAAAGCAAAGAGTATGGACAACCTTAATTTTATGTTTGCAGAAGTTGTTAGAATTATAAGCAGCATCATTTTTTCTACACAGGATCTGACTCTGCATAAGAAACCATGCGTGAAGGAACGTACGCCCAATACTCCACGAATAATTTACATTGCTGGAGGTTATCTCAGAAATTCGCTAGATCTCCTTGAAGGCTATAATGCTGATGATCGTACATGGTCACAACTTGCTAAGTTAACTGTACCTAGATCAGGGTTGGGTGGAGCATTTCTAAAGGTAATTGTTTTGCATTTTTGTTTCTTATACTGACGTATCTTTGTGTGTGTGTGTGTGTATGTGTATCTCATTTAAGCATTTATTAATCTTTCCTCAGGGCATGTTTTATGCTGTAGGGGGACGTAATAACTCTCCTGGCAGTAGTTATGATTCAGACTGGGTGGATCGGTATAATCCGGTGATGGACCAGTGGCGTCCCTGTAGTCCAATGTCAGTTCCTCGTAATAGAGTGGGTGTGGCTGTAATGGATGGTCTGCTTTATGCAGTTGGTGGATCAGCTGGCATCGAATACCATAGCAGTGTGGAGAGGTAAGCGGACAGATTAGTGTAAAATTCCAGAAGAAATAATTTGGTGCTTTAGTTGCTTATGTCCTAAGTGAAGTTTTGAAGTCTCATCTTGAAAAATGTAGACTTTCCATTGTATCATACAATTTTGTAATGCTTTCACATATGAAATATACATTCACCTTCAGCATGTTTCAAATCTCCATTCTTTATTCATATTCATTCTCACTTCATAGTGAAGTAGATACCATGATACTGTATGTGTTGGAGGAATGAAGGAAGAGTTCATAATAAATTAAAAGAGAATATTGTGGGAAAATAGAGGAGATAGGAGACTTAGCATCCATAACCCATATGGGATGGAAAATGACACTATAAGAAGTAGTAGAAGAAGAAGAAGAAGAAGAAGAAGTACCCTTTGCCATTTCACTTAAAATGGTTGTTCTTGGTGCCTTCAGACCAGACTTTTCTGGGTATTTACAATTTTAAAACTGTGTATGGGATATGTACACATGGCTTTCCAAAAATTACATTAGCTAAATTGCAAATTATTTTACTATGATACTTATATTGCATATTACCAACTTATAATGTGTATTTATCCCTCAGTTTTGCATTTAATCATCTGTGTTTTAGAGGTTAGGTTAGTCAGAAAGGAATACGAGACTTGGGCAAGAACATAACCAATTCCCTGAGAATGAGAAAAATGATATTCTCCCCAAAATCTGTATTTAACTTTCAGTTCTGTAATTAATGAATCATTGAGCTATATTTGTGGCATTTGACATGGAGATAAATCATAAACATGCCTGAAGAATTTGTATAAACCACTATTTTATATGTTAATTATTAAAAATGTGACAATGTTGCAAAACTTTCTGGTAACATCTAACAAATTTAACATGGTCTGCTTTTGTACTAGTAGAAATTGTGCACAGAATAGCACAGTTATTAATTTACAGTTTCTGCTAGCTTCATGATGTAGATTGAAGCATCAGAAGGAGGCATGTTTTATGATTTTTTTTCCACATATTCATGCTTGCAAAGGAAATTAATGAAGCAAATACTTATTTATTTAAGGTTTGATCCAGAAGAAGATCGGTGGACGAGTATAAAACCGATGCACACGAAACGTCTTGGAGTGGGTGTGGCTGTTGTCAACAGATTATTGTATGCAATTGGTGGTTATGATGGCACAGAGAGGCTAAGCTCAGGAGAATGTTACCATCCAGAAAACAATGCATGGAGTATGATAACACCCATGACAACACAAAGAAGTGGAGCAGGTACATTTTTAAAATCATCTCTTTAGAGATAAATGTCTGTAGACATCATAGATTATGGGAAACTTCCAGATCAGACATTTTCTTGTTCTAGAGGTGACAAGTCATCATATAAACCTAACCTGTAATTGTTCTGAAATTCAGACCAGACATAGTACTTGTTATTACACCATTCTGTCAGTTATTGTTTTATTCAAATGTGTTTAAAGGTCACAAGAACTGTAATTCATAGATTTACGTAATCTGAATTGTTTTAATGATACTTCGAAACATTCATCGGCACTTGTATCCAACCACTCAACAAAACTAGGGCGAGTCCCCTCCATCCCTCCCAAGAAGTGTCTGAGGCAGAATACGAACTGTGGAATGACTGGTATATCCTGATGGCATAATGATACATTTTAATGAAATTTTCTGCTTTTGAAAGAGGCATGCATATGATTAGGGAGCCAGCATAGCTCAGTCAGAAAGGTGACTGGCTACAGACTGGACAACCGGGGTTGAATCCCTGATGGGGCAGAGGATTTTTGCTCTAGCCTCTGCATCCAGACTGGTTCTGGGGCCCACACAGCCTCCTGTCCAATGGGTACCGGGGTCCTTTCCCGGGGATAAAGTGCTGCTGGGGCATGATGCTGACCACTCACCCCCATCTAGTGCCGAGATCAGGAATGAGTAGGAGCTACAGCTCCTCCCTCCACAAGAACCTACATGGCATGTAGTGGGACAACTTTTATGCACGTGATATAAACAAGTCTGTAAATAATCATTGCAATGTGATACAGGAATGATTCAAAGATTTCTAACACCAGAGTATATGGCCTTTCTTGGGCATTTGATTCAATGTTAGTTGAAAGCTAATTCTGATTAGCAGATATCAATTGAAATTACCTGCTTATGCTGTGGCTTCTCTGATGTCCATGCATATTTGTAGTTAAAAGTTTCTAAAGTGCACCTGTTAGTTTTGCTATGTCTGTCTGTTCATCTCTTCATTTGGCTGCTTGTAATAACTTCAGAATAGATATTCATGAAATTTGATACTGGAAAGTTTTTCAAAAATTTGTCAACACATTCCACTTACATTTAAAATCAGTACATGGAAAGGCAACATTATTCTTACTTCAGTTTCATTGTTGTTTCCATAAGATGAACCAGTGATTTCTAAATGTCATAAATATCATTTTGTGAGAATGGAACAATCAATGATCAGCTATGTTTTCTTACAGGTGTGGCAGCACTGAACCAGTACATCTATGTAGTTGGAGGCTATGATGGACATAGACAGCTAAACAGGGTAGAACGTTACGATACAGAATGTGACAGTTGGGACTCTGTTGCTAGTATACGTGTAGCGCGCAGTGCACTCAGCGTCACTGTATTAGATGGAAAACTTTATGCTATGGGTAAGTTGTCATTGCTGTTATAATAAATTAGAGGGAAACCAAGAACTCGTGGCTAATGTGCAGAACATTTCGGTACCTGAAAATGAACTCCGAAGAGTTCTGCCATAGGGTGTTGAAGCAGTTGTGACCCAGCCTATTCTGATGTAGTTTTGACTACCCAGTCACAACAGTACACTCCAGAAACAAGTATTGTTGATCCTTTTGGTTATAAACATACTTGTATGTATTGTAACAGAATTAGTGACTACGCTGTTGTGGGCTCTTTAAAGTGGAGGATGGATTTATTTCATACACCATTACAATTATGAGCTCAGTCAGTTAAGTGACTGGCTATGGACTACTAAGTTGCTTCTCAAGTTCCACACTGTTGCTTCTTTAATTGAGTGACGTCATCTATCAATTTACCAATTATGGCAACACATATGTCAGTCTTTGCCTTTATCAGTTATATAATACATTTAGATGAATGGTCTTGATTTGTACACTTAATGAATGGTTCCTTACTCTCAGGACAAAGGATCTTCTTGTGTTAGATGTAGACAAGACTGCTGCATTTTTTCTGATGTGTCATCCATCCTAGTAGCCTTCTGTAGTTTAGTATAAGCTAAACATGTATATGATGACTTACCAGAAGCAGTATAAAAAGGTAATCCCTGTGTCTCGTTAATTTTTAACCACATACATTGAAAACAAACTGTACAGTCTGAACAGTTATAGCTTTCTATTTACTATAAAAGGGTTTTTCACACAGTGTACAAATCTTTGCTGGTTTCCATGAGGCTGGAAAAGTATATACCACAGACACTAACAAATATATATGACAACAGAGCAAAAGCACGTGTGGAAACATCCACTTGCTCCAAAAGCATGCAGAATGATGATATGGCACTGTTCTGTTATACAATAAAATATTTCTTTTATATTGCTCGACTATTAGTGGTCTGGCCAGATACTGTTAGCCAGATCAGGGCAAAGAACTGATTTTGGTCGTATGAGATGGACCCGTCCAAAGCACGCGCTATAGTGGTGTCAGCTTCAGTTGGTTTGTAGCTCTAGCTGTGTTTAGATCGGTGTGTCACCGCAGTTGAGGCTGTGTGATCCCCACTACTACTGAACTCCCCTCTCTCGGCTTACACATCGTGCATTTAGGTGCCACAACCACTCGTGCGACCTTTACTATTAGCTGCTATTTTTGAAATCATGATCATGAAGGAATGTGAAGAGACAGACGTTGGTTTACGTGAAAGTGGCAGTGTTATGATTTAGCTTCAGCACTGGTACAACTATTTGCATGAAAATGACCTTACGCATTGCATTTTTTTTTCTCCCCCAACTGTCCAATAACTTCTCACAAGACCCATCCCACTGCTGTGGTTGAAACATTAGTTTTAGTGACCTTTGCAACCACAGTCAAGTATCATCAGATGAGTCAGTTTCTTGCCAACTTCATTCGCATAGTCGCATAGCAACAGTGAGAAGTAATGAATAGTGAGGTGATTTTCCATATGTATTTGTTGCAGTGATGAAAGACCATTCATTTCACAACATAAACTCTGTATAGTTATCATTTATTAATATACCTGCAAATAATTAAATTACAAATTGGCCCCACAGAACTCGGGTTTTATCAGCAGACTTTGGATGTTTCAGGCACCAAAACTTTCATTTTAAAATAATCAGTGTAAGCACAAAAAGGCTAAAATAGACATAAACACCATATATAAATTTGAAGACAGTGTGAAATTGCATTAGTTTACCCATGTGTGAATGGATATTATTCAATTATGGAAAGTTTTATGATAAATCTGTGAAGTAGGAAAGAGGAATTTGCCTGAAGATTCAAATTACTATTAATCAGATAACTTTACATCACGTGTGAGATTTTTACACAATACTTCCACTGCTAAGGCAGTGATGTTAATGGTGTTATGAAGTAATTTGCAAGATGATATCTTAAAACCACTGACATTGGTCCACCTGGCAGAGTATCTTCAGTCATGTCAGTGTCTTCAACAGGAAGTTGTGGCTGATATACACATCCTTACCTTTTTACCACAAAGTTGTGCAGAGCACACATGCTTCAAAGGATGTTGTCGATAGTGCTGTCATCGGAGAAAAGTATTGGTGATGTAAGTACCTGGAACTTTCTTGGCGTCATTCCAAAGGCACATTATGGCCATACTGCCATCTCATATTATTTCAAGTCAGGTTGCAGTTCTACTTCATTTAATGGATCATATTCAACAGCACAGTGATCTCCATCACTCTGTAACCAGTGGCTACACAGATATTTCACTCAGCAAAATTCAACAGTATGATTCAGCAGTTCAGCAATGTATATTTGATTCTGATTGTCAGCACTCCTTTCAAGTAAGCAAAAGTTGTAATTCAAGTACTGTATATTGTTGGGAATAAATATTTTGACTTGCCTGAGTGTTATTAATAATCTCTGCAGCTCATGTATACTGCCTACAGTTCATATCCTTTATAGTTATCACTGGACCATGTACTTGAAGTACTTCGGCAAAGCTTTCATTGTTCGTTCAATAAAATTATTTGAATTTTCTTTCATCCTGTGACAATTCCGTGGCAGCAGTGAAGGCTCTGTGATTAAAATTCTTACTAATGCATCGATACACTCATTGTGCCCTCCTTTTCTTAAAACCACTACATAACATCATCCTTGTCTGAAGAAATTTCATATTACAAAGCAAGAGATTTCTCTGTCAGTTGCTTCACCGTGGGAGCATCAAGTGTGACTGCCATGCAATTAGTTGTACCAGAGGGAGAACAGCAGCCTTACACACACCAACTGTCGTCTACTAACAGATGGAGAGTTTCGGTGTGGAACAAAGCACGTTAATGTTTTTCCATCTTACTTTGTTGAAATAACTTTTATTTTTTAGTATAAATGTGTGTCAGAATAATAAACTACATTAGAGTGGGAGAGGAGAAAGTTGCATGTATCACTGTTATTTTTTGCTTTTGTCAATTTATTTGCACCTATCACAATGAGATGATAAACATAATGTTATAGCTATGTTACCCGGCAGTGTAACAACAAATTTGGTTAACTTTATTCCATATATGTCGATATGTATGTTGTCACAAACTTGGAATAAAAGAATACATGTAAGGACATTGTGATCCCTTAGCTCATTGTTATGGATGGTGTAATTCCCTTCTGTCAGGCAAACTTCACCAGTTCTTGGTTCCCTGTACTAGTTGTTTTAATGCCGATACAAAAGGTATTCTTCTGATAATCAATATTTCTTTTAATATTATTTTGACTACGTGAATGTTTATCTACCAAATATTTTACTTCAAACTGGGATTCCATAGCTGATGGTCCAGATGTCTCTGCTGGTTTACATCTTAGTTTATGCCAGTCTACAAATTGAAGTTCTGATATGTTACATTTTACCAAAGCTGAAAAAGTTTCTGTTTCACAAATTGCTCCTGTTTTCATTTTTAATTTTCTTCTAGCAGTCGGTTTTGTGTTGAACATTGCCAGAATGTTTACAGTCTCACTAGGTAAATCAGCCATTATTGCCTTTCTTTTTCACTTTTGCAAATGTTTTATTGAGAATGTTCACTCTGGGTGAATATCATGGCAATTTGATTCTTCTTCTTCTATGGCTCTCCAGCCTGTATTCGGTCCATGGCCTCCTCAATTCTCCTCTTCCATTCGGTCCTCTGTCAGGTCTGTCTGTCCGAGGCTTTGATTGAGGTTTCAAAACATCTTCCTTTTTATGGTGCAAGGTTGTTAGCCTTGCAACCAACCCCCAACCTGGAGGACCAGGGTACCTGTGTAGTCTGACCTCTCCCCCTCGACCAATCTGGCTAGGGAGGCCCTACCAGTAGCTATGCTACCGCCAGCATAGCTCTTGGGGTCACTGAGGTACTCAAGCCCCACCACCACGACAAGGCGCCACATAAAAATGTTTTGTGGATAAATATATTTACATATGCTAATGGTAATGTCTGATAACAGTTGCATGCTACATAAATTGGATTGTTTGTGATACCAGAGAGGCAACATAAGGATAATATCAAAATACATTTTTGCAGTAAGTTAGCTATTATTATACAGCATTTGAATTACACATATGTGACATGTGCAAAAATAATGTAACTTTCTCACCTAGGAGGTTATGACGGACAGACGTTTCTGAACATAGTGGAGGTGTATGACCCTGAGCGTGATGTGTGGGAAGAAGGTCAGCCACTCACAAGTGGACGTTCAGGACATGCATCTGCAGTGTCCTATCATCAGTGTGTGATTCACTGTGAACAACATGACCATTCAATGACAATGGATTCTCCTTCACCTAGGGGAAGGCCTAGACCAGGCAGTGAAAGAATGAAAACGTGACGAAAGTGAAAATTACTGAATCCATCTTTAATGCTAGTGAAACACTGAAAACATTGCTTTAGAAAGATACTGAATTCCATTCATGATGATAATATTACCTTATTTAAAGACTTATTGTGTATTAAGATTGTGCCTCTTTTATTATCATAGCATGCCACGTGGAGGGATAAAATATCCCACATTTAGTTTCAGTGAAAGTCCTTCCTGTTAGATAAGGTGCTGTATTTAAATACCTGTTGCCTTATGAAGTATTTATTGTTTTTAATTTTTGTTGTAAGGAGAAAATGTTATGAAATATTGTCAAAGATGACCTTTTGGCAGTTTTAAATTATTAGTAATATGTATATGAGTGTCCGTTACCACACAAGAGATTATAATATATGTATCAACTTTTCTCTTCGATCATCTTACAGAGAATGTAAAGACTATGATTGTCAGTATAAGATGTTTATCAGTGGTAAATGTTTTTGTGTATAATGTAAGAGAGAATATTTATTTTTAGAACATACTTTCCTTCTTGTTCCCTAACTCATAGCTTTGTTTTTGTGTTTTGTAACAGAAGATTGTATATTATCTGCTGAGCAAGTGCCAAATTTTTTTGCAGAACTGTGAGATTGTAGTCCAGTGTGCATAAATAAAACTGACCACTCATTTCATGAATTCACAAATCAGGGGACTTGGTGGTCTTGAATGTACCAGGTCCTTATCATGGTTCAAAGTCCATGATTACCCTGTGATTGGGGTAAGAATTCTCCCTATTTGTATTTTGCCTTCACATGTGTTTTCTATACCCTTGTCTAGACAAACAGAGACCAGGAGGTTCTGTTCACAGACTGAGAGATGGCAAAGCAGTTTTACTCACGTCTGCCGCTACTTACATATGCTGAGGAACTGTATTTGTGGGCATGACAAAATGAGCATCTGTGCTGTACAACTCAAGTGACAGCTGATGTTACACTGAAACAGTAGAATGCTCAATACAACCGCCTTGCCAACTCCCAATCTGTGGACAGTACATCATAGAACATACCTGGAGGCACAAGATATGAACAAATTGGCAAATCCATACAGATAAACATAAAAACATGGTTCAGAATTTTATATGTAGTATGATATAACTAATACTGAAACTTTGTATTCATATAATTTGATACCATAGCAGCTTCAGAATGAATCATGATCTGTATTCCTTATTTGAACTCTGACCAGTCAAGTTATTCTTGGCATTTTTTATGTGTGTTTACATTGGACTTAAGACTAGTGATATTTTGCACAGAAGGCTTTTATTGAATGTGACTATGAAATTATGTCATATTATTTTTCAATTTGCTGGAAAAACAGCATGAACAGCAGATCTTGTAATGTATGTGTTCTTGATGTGAATCACTCTGATCTTGAAAGAAAACAGTAAGATTTGCCATGTTTTGTAGATTAACACTACAGTATGTAATATGTTTCAGAAGTACTGAATCTTTTCAGTAGGATGACATAGGTTTGCTAGACTGAGTAAACATGATTAGAAAGGTGTACTTTCGAATACATTGAAATTCCAAAGGTGTTCTTTACATAAATCCAGGGACTGGTGCAACCCATGATGGAAGCCCTGTGAGGTGAAAGCTATGAATTCTGAATGACTGGGTGGGCAAGCCATGGAAGAGGGTGCCAGGAGACAAAACCACTGAAGCAGGATGCTTGGCCTGAGTGAGAATGAATGCTGGGAAAAGTAATGGGTTGTAAAACCCCAGTGGTGGCAAGCCAGACTTCAAACAAGTTTGTGGGGAAAAGCCCAGGGTTTCCCCATGTGCAGGTTATGGAGGTGTACTAGCCCCCTCTGTCACCAAGCCCCTTTGGTGACAGTCCCAAGAGTGCAAGCCTGGGGTAGTCTAACCAGTGATGATGGAAGTCAGGGTTGTCCAGTGGCACCAATGCCAAAGCTATGGACTTCGATAGCTGCAAGGATGAATATATGGGAGAAGAAGCCATAGAAGAAAAACCTGTTGGAGCAGCAAGAATGCATGGAAAAGGCCATGTTTGTAGAACTGTGAGTGTGGGAACTGCAGTTTTGATTGCATAGGAGAAAACACCTGGATTTCCCAGAGGGATGCAGGCCTTAGTGGTAGCCTTGTTCTGTGGGTGACCAAGGCCCTGTTGGGCAGTCTTAGTGGTGGTGTACAGTGTATTGGTAGAAGCCTGGCATGGGCAAAGCAGTTGTCTGGGAGCAGTACCCTTGGAGTATCAGGCACAGGGTCTAGGCCCTAGGGGGAAAGCCCCAGGGATTGTGAGCCCAGTTGGAAGCAAGCATTGGGGGGGGGGGGGGCAATACTTGTGTGTGCCCCAGGGAGTGCAGCTTCCATAGGTTGCCAATCCCATGGTTAGTGAAGCCCTTTGGGGGAAGACCATGCTGCCAAGCCCATGCGTTTCCAACCTACTGAGTGCTTTGAATGCAACCCACGTAGTTTGCTTTGCACCTGGGGGAAACCCTGCAGGTTGCCTAGTTTTCAAGATGTGACTGACAAACACAGATGGGCCCATAATATATTCTATGCTTGTACTGAAACATAAAGAAAGTCTAAAAATGGAGCTACATCTCAGTTTCAAAGTATATGAAATAAAATTATTTATTACTTAGTATGAAAGTTTTTGTATTTTCAGGCATGTCCTGCATCCTGCAAGGTACTTTATGTTGGATTGTTTGTCCTGAGATCTCTGTAGTCTGCCCTCAACAATTTTTGGATTTCAACCCAGTAAATTTCTTCCTTGTTAGTTGGGACGTGATAAATTCTATCACAGTACTGCAGACAGCCCAAAGGACCTATCGCATGTTCATAGCTTGTTTTTATGCACCACTCATGCATGTGATCTGTCCAAGATTTAATTTTCTTGCAGTAATCAATTTTTCTACCTCCACTAGTTTTATGGGCTTTGAAAATGAGATGGCCAAAACTCGTGTTGGGAAACACTGCCAGGCCTTTTCGCTTCACTAATCACCTTATAACACTTTGTGAAACTTGGACTCTTATTTCTGAAACATTCTGTATATGTAGCTACTAATTTAATGCAGATCTGTGAGCATATGACAAGACAGTAGAGTTCAAAGCACATAAATTGATATCATAGTTTATATTAGCATGAAGCTGGTCTCGGTAATCGGAATCCTGGCTGCGAAGACACTACTGATACTTAAGACTGTTAGATTCTCAGAGTTTTGGTGTTATTATATCATGTCTGCAGAAAAAAATATTTGAGCATGTAGCTTCAAATAGGCCATAACAGTCTCAAAGTCTTCAGCTACTTGCTACTGATCATCTTACCTCATTTGACCTTTGCATTGGAAGCAGCAGCATTAAATAACCTAAGTACCAGTCATCACATCATCTACTATAATTTCTGTGACATCTAACTCGCTTCCTCCAAGCAGCAGAATCCTTTAGATGCTTATTCTTTGATATTCATATAAAAAGGTAGGAGACAGTAACATCTCTGAAACTACTTCACAAATTTCAGTGAAATTTTAAATTGAGGTCTACACTAGAGGATGTTACACTTTAACATATAAGAATAGGGGATTTAAATCTCTGTACTATGAGGATGCTGGCCAGACCTTAAATGCTCGGCAAACAAATGTTGGTATGTATCAGGAAATTGAGTTCTGCAACGTTTATTTCAAAACAGTGTTCAGTATAATGATATTAACAAAGTACAAGAAACAATTTTTCCTGGCTATATGCAGTGTGATAGGCTTTGTAATTTTGGATTTATATCTACAGTAACTGAACATCAGAACAATGACGCATGCAAAATCACAAACTTTTTCCATGCTTTTTACTATTAGTAAGGCTCATGTCTAAAGTGAGCTACAGTGGGGAACCAGTCAACAGTTTAAGAAACAAATGTACTATCAGCAAGACATAGGCATGAACTTTGTACCACATGAGTTTATTTTGAATGCTTCAACTGTGAATAGCCCATGACGAACCAACCCTTGATGTCTATGTTGTGCTTGTAACATAATGATTAAGTCAGGCAACGATAACTTTTTAGGAAGGAAACTTTCATTTATGATGTATGGTATCTACAATACCAGAGGGTAAATGAAGACACAATAATTGTCTGTCTTCAGCAGTAAGATGTGTTTTCAGCACACTCTTAAAGATATAGAGAGTACAGTGAAGGTGTAATAAAGTGGTTCCATCTATTTTATCTGTCTGGGAAGAAAAATTTAAACATTCTAAACACCACATGACTGAAAGAAGCTTGTATTATACACAATAATTCAGTCTAATGTGAAAATGTAACCAAAGTTTGGCTTCCAGCATGAAGTACACAGTACATACACTGTTCATATTGACGTAACACATACTACCAGGCAGCTGTTGAACATGAATTGACAAGCCCTTAGATGGTATTTATTATAAGAAATCAAGCTTTAAGAATTATAGTGTGGTATTTGTATGTACTTTTGTTTACAACATTGCTACCTGTAGAACCAGATATACTGTTTTCTGCCATTTCACACTTGGCTGTAGTGTAGTTATGATTTTTCTGTAATTTTGTCATAAAATATATTTATAGTTTACTCATTTGGAAGGGTTGTAAATTTTCCTTCACTATATATGCAATAATCTTCCTTTGTTGTCCCATCTTTTTTACATGTGTCAGCTTATTTTAAAGAGTGAAACATGGAAAATGTTATGTAAAGACAAAATTAACTCATGCAGACTTCCAGAGTTCAGGAAGGTTAACAGACACAGCTGCTAAATTTAGGACTCAGAAGAGCCAAATAAACTTATTGAGCATGAATGCAACAGTCTAAAAGTGAACATGTTGTGTTTTCTAATAAAGCCTAAAGTAACTGGTCTGTTCTTTTTTCTTGACCTCATCTTCCACTTAGATGATGTGCCTCTGCATTGTAGTTGTGTTGTTCATGTTAGCTTGGACAGGCATTTGTCAAGAAGATGGATTGGAAGACTAGGGCCAATTTCTTGGCTACCTAAATCTCCCAAACCAACCCCAATGGATTTTTACTTTTGGGGTTATGCCAAGGGTATCACGTACTTAACAAAGCCAATGAGTCTAAAGAGAGATAAAAGACAGAATTAGGAATACAGTCCTCAGTCACTCCAGCATCAATGGTTCATGATGTGGAAGATGTGTTGGGCAACAAACGATGCATATCATTATAACAAAACTTTGAGACATAGCAAGTTTCATTGCTATACTTAAAGCAGCATGAATAATTCATGCTTTAAATTTCAGAATTTCATTTCACTGGCCCTCTATTACTGTCAGTAACAAGATCTGGAAATTCATTTTAGCCTCAGAGCATGTTTCTTCATCATCACACTCTGAGTCATCCTTTCTAGCAGGATAATTACTAGCTTGCATATTAAATTGTCAGTTGCCAATGTTCTATTAGTCTACTTTCCATAATGGAAAAGGGCTTACAATTTTGTGTGTGTCTCTTCCCTTAATGGATCAGAATTTATAAATACAGAGAAAAACAGAAATATTGAATATACTGTGCAAAGGGGCAATATAAGATCAGGTTATATGCATACTGATTTTGTTAGATTACAATTTGTAGTAAAATAATATTCATATGTTAAAAATTGAAATACAGTAGATTCTGGTTAATCAGGACAGCCGTTTATTTCGGACAAGTCTTAAAGAACAAACCTTTTTAACTCTTTACGTGTAACTTCGCATGATTAGGGCAGCCACTTAATTGGACCAAAGTGTTCTAGTCCCAGTGTATCCCAATTATCCAGAATCCACTGTAATTTAAAATGGATGTTTGAGAAAGTATTTATTAAAGATCATTGAGCAGTGGACCAAAGATGTATACTGGAAAGCAGGCATCTAAATTCCATTAAAATGTTCTTGCATTTCTTTACTAGGGTGCTCTACCCCTATGCTTTGTCCTTTCCTATCTCTTGTCTTTTGTTAAAACGATACAGAATTACTTGCTGGAAATACAAAATTAACAGGAAATTACCTGAAGGTGAGGAACTACATAAATAACTTATGCAAAAGTAATGTAAGGCACTGACATCTAACAGGACTGGACTTGCTTCCAGAGCATGTTCTTCTTCTGCATGGAATTTTTGGACACCAGTCTGGCAAAACTGGAGTGAAACAACTCCTATTAATGATATCACAAAACAGAGTCCTTCCATTGTTTTAAAAGTCTTTTGCCTGACATTTTAAATCTCTTTTTTCGCAGTACTATTTTGATATTTCCAACAATCTCCTGTCCTGGGTTCATTAATGAAAGGAGTGTTATATATTATTACACTTTATCACTAACACATCAGTTTATAGCTCCTGACCTGACTTTGTAATTTTACGAATGTATCACTGTATAAGTAGCCCCACTTGATTAAATTTTAAATTTGTGTTAATTTTAATCGTTTTAAATCTATGTCAATTTGTAATATAATTTTCATCTCCATTTAGTTTTAGCACCTGGTTTGTGCATTATATGAAATTGGCCTGAAGTTGGTATTTTAATACCAAAAAATATAGCCATAATAAACTACTACAAGCATTTTAGATTATATTCTAATGCGTGTATTCCACACCATTGATAAGCAACCCGTGCAGTCATACATAAATGCTTTGTAAGTGGCCCATAAGAACACTAGGACTGGCAACCAATGATATCGTCATTTGACATTTCATCAAGTGCACTAGAACTCAGATCGGGTCTTGGCTTCCGCTATTTGCTGCGGTTTCCTAACAATGTTTGTTTTATAGGTGTAGGTTGTCAGCTTATCATCTAACCCGCAATCTGGAGGACCAGTCCCCTAAATTTATATCCCCCGGGGCCGGGTGGACTAGTTAGCTACACCACCAGAAAGTGGTTCCCTCTGGCACGTCACTTTCCGTATCAATTATGTCATTCATCTGTTGTGAGGAATTGGAGTTATTATGGTAGTAGTTCTTAATTACGTTGCTAAGATGTCACTACGTATGCTGTTCGCTTGTCCTGCTCAAGTTAAAAAAAATGGCTCATCCAACTTGCTGTGCATGAGAGTAGGCGAAAAAAACAACGTGAAGATGAGCACACGGTGCACATGCGCACCGTACGGAACGTTGCCTGGGAAGACGATCACAAGCCTGATTGACGTATACCGGGCCACAGAGATACGTAAATATAACCATCTGTGGAACGATGTCACACCTGAGGTGACGTTTATTTTGTAACTTATGCAAGATAACTGTTATGGTAGGAAGAGATTCATTCAGCGCTACAGACATTTAAGCTTTCGTTATGAACTGTAATGTTTTGTTGCAGAACACCGTAGTGATCACAACAGCATTTTTAAGTACACTCTGTAACTCTCAAGCATGTTTTTGAAAAGGTGGACAAAAGAAATTTGGTAAGTGTGGAAGTGGTCTGTGATTATTTGTTGTTTTTATGTAATTTACATTTCTTCGTACGTTGTTGGCTAATCGTTTCATAAACGGAGGCTTAGCAAAGTTCGACCGGAAAGCATGGCCGCCAACTGAACGATAGTAACCTTGTGTAGTGTAGTAACGAAGTGTAATATAATTATCCAAACGAAAGTGGGGTGCCCTGACATAGCGTAATATTTATCACTGACATGTCTGTTGACATGGGGGGCATGCTATTTAAAGGTTGGCATTTCAGGATGGCTGCTGTGAAAGCGACTGTATGTGGATGTTGTCAGGTGTAATTTTGTAGAAGTTTACCGACGTTTCTGAAGTTCTGTCCCCAGACAACATTGCACATTGGTAAACTTTTACCAGACTACAGAATGCAACATCGCAGAAGACAAATCATGTTACTTAAGGTTCCTGCATTATATGGAACACAATTCCCAACTACACTTCTGGAATAAAGGTTAAGTACTCTGTGAAATGTTAAGGTGCTGTCAGTCATCTTTCCCTTCTCTGTACCAGTCTTGATTTTCTTTCAATCCCCATTGGTCTTACATCCCATCCTGACTCAATTCAACACTTTAGATAGAGGTGGTATGTTCCTATGAAATGTTGGTAACCACCAACAAGTCTACAACTGAATGTCTTGGCAGAGTAGTTAGTACTCCTGCGTTGTCTCAGGAGGTCGGTTACTATTAATAGTTGCTTACCCTTCAAATTCAACACAGGCATTAATGGTTTATCATGTACTCTGCCAGTAATTTCTTAAATGTTTATGTAAAAAATTTGTTTCTTCCGCTTTACCTCCCATTGGTGCATATACTTTGATGATATCAAACTCCTGCCTTGCAGTTCTGATTTTAACCTTTATTATTCTGGATGACATCCATATGTATCCTAGTATCTTATTTATCAAGCTCTACCTTATTAAGGTTGCTGCTCCTGAAGCTGCCCGATTTTCGTTTGGTACCCTTGATTAAATCATAACATGGGAGCCTATGTCTGTTGAGCCCTTGTTCTTCTTTTTTGTCTCTGATGTAATTGCATTATCTATATTTTATTTTTCTAATTTTTTGGACAAAATCTATAATTTATGCCTTATTTCTCTTACATTCCATGTCGTGATTTTCATTATCCAGGTCATGTTCCGTTAAGACAGTCTGAACATTATTTTGAGTTTCTTTTTTATACTTAGTAATTTCATCATGCTGGGGAAGCAGCCCTTCAATGGCTATAAGACTGGTGGTAGGTTTGCTATGTATGAGCTCCTGTCAAGCCGGTGGAACAGTTATACACACCACTGTTCCTCCATTGTCAGACTCTCTTTGGTGCAAACAGGGAGCACCATGTGAAGGTGACATTGACATTTGAATAGAAGAGGCGTTATGTTATACTTCACTATCTCTTACTCTCTGAGAATCACATGAAACCCATAAGTATCCCTTGTGGGCAAAGTGCGGAAATATTTATTTGTAAAGCAGGTGGTCTTTGAAGGGTTAATTTTGCAGTGGCAGTAACCTATTTTTGTACCTATTTATACAAAAACGTTACAAACCTGATAGTGGCAATTACCAAAGAATATCATTCAACATTCTTATCTTATGTTTAATTTGTATGTAGGTGAAACAGTTGTGGTAGTCAGTGTAGATTTTTACATAAAAACTACTGATTAGTTATTCTGCATTTGGCAGATAGTGGAAAGGAAATTTGACGTCAGTGTAGTGGACCAGTACATCAGCTGTTTGTAGAATTCAAGAAGGCCTTAGGCAGGAAATAAGTATTGTATAACATTCACATTGAATTTGTTATACCTATTAAGTTAGTTGGGTCAATTAAAATGTGTTTAAATGAAATCTGTAGTAAAGTCCGTGTAGGTAAACATTCTCATTGGCGAGCATGCTACAAAGGATCAGATTTGTTATGCAGCAGCCCTGAGGATGAGAGCAAAGATTGTTGTCGAAACGTTGACGTAAGATAAGGTTTATTCACCATTCAGCTACCTGATGCGGCTTGTAACCCGAGAGTCTTTCATCAATAATCATTGATGTTCACATTAGCCTCAGGGTTCTGGTTGATTAAAAGATTTGCTATTATATTGCGTTGACAGATTTGATCTGTGGCCGAGTTTAAGATGGAGTTCACAGCGGAGAATCTCGAGCGTGCAGTGGTACAGTTCTACCACACCGATGCTGCAATGCAGGCACATGCTCATCACTGGCTTACAACTGCTCAGGCCTCTCCAGAGGCATGGAGTTTTGTCTGGCATTTGCTGCAACCAAACAAGGTTATTAGAGTGAATTAGTGATTCGTTTTTATAAAAAGAAAATAGGGTTATATAATCATTTAGCTGGATATTAGCTTTATAATTGTTGTAATTAAACAGGATTTGCAATGAAATTATTTTGTGTATGTTTTGAAACTGAAACCATGTCAAACTGGCTTGGAATAGTGTACAGTGGTAGGATGACATGTTAAATCGTAGGAGAACGTCTCATTGTCAGCCAGTGTCTTTGCTGTTTGTTGTTTGGATTGTTTTGCAATGAATTCCTGTTGTAAATATACATGGGTTAGGTGTCATGGATACAAATATTTTTACAAATTCTGAGTGAATTTTGAAATAATTTTAAAATAGTGGTGGTCTGGCGTTCCTAAAACTCAGACATTTTTACCTGAAGTTGTGTTGTAATGTCATTAAATAGAATAAAGTAAATAAAGTATGCTTTGTAACCCTCATGTCACACTGAGGTATACTGCCTTCAGCATTTACTTTGTCTCTGGTAAAAGCAGGTAGTGTAATGTTTTTATTTTCATTTTCAGTCTGCAGAAGTTCAGTTTTTTGCAGCAACAACTCTGCACACAAAGTTGATAAAGTCATGGCACCAGGTTCCCCCTGAGCAGTACGCATCCCTAAAGAAGCAGCTGTTAGAAGCTGTCGCAAGTTATTGCCTCGGTCCCAAGATTGTTCTTAACCGGCTCTGTATCGCTGTGAGTATTACGAACTAATAATGCCCATCATACCTTTGGAATGAGTGGTGGCGTTCGCAGTGTAATGGCAGAGTGTCACCTGGTATATGGAATTCACATAATAGTCATAAATTTTTTTCAACAGTAAACTGAGTCATTGAATGTTATTATTTATAATGTTTATACTGTGTTGAATGAGATAAGAAAATAATTTTGAATGGTAAGTAAGGATTTAGAAGGAGGTGGTGACGGCATATTGTGAGATGTTATTAAGTGCTTTCACCTTGAGAAGTTCAAGGAAACCATGAAAATTTAAGCCAGTAATCTGGCTGAGATTCGAACCTGGTGTCTCCTGAATAAAAGTCCTACAGTTATTAACAACACAAGAATAAACTTGGTAAATTCACTATTAGATATATTTCACGTATGGAGTAACGTCTAAAATTGCTTTTTCAAGTTGCTAGGTTACACATAAAATTTTCAGATTCATCTCCTGAATATTTGCAATACCACAAAGTCAAATACAGACTTAACTTCTGGGTGAAAAGTAGTTTTCCCATATAGATAGCTTTGCCAGGTATGATGATTGTTAAAAGTGACTAGGAAAACCTTGTGAATGGGAAAGGTCAATAGGAAAAGATGGATGTGGACCAAAGAAAACTCAGAAATAGATTTAAAAACATAGGGAGAATAGCTGGGATTTCATCATGCCCAAATAAAGAAAAGTGAAATGTTAACATAACAATCAGCAAATTCAGTTTTGTGTGTAAATACAGGGTGATATTGAAGTTACAATAAAAGAGAATAACAACTTATAACTGAAGGAGCATGAGTAATAGGATAATTGTGAAAGAGTAATAAAAAGAAAATTTATATTATGCCTTAACCATTTTTTCTGCAAGGTAAAAATCTAAACTCATTATGAGGATTAGGTTATGGTGTGCATAATAAATGAAAACTTAATAAATTTACCAACATGTGGATCAAACACAGAAGAGAACTACGAGGGGCAGTCAAAAAGTTCCCGGAATTGTGGTATAGCACTGTAATGGTAGGACATATGGCAACGCTTACCTAATCACCTTCAAAGTAGGACCCTTGCGCGCACACACGGTTGCTCCATCGATCTTGCCATTGTTGGAAGCACCGGCAGAAGGCTTCGTTTGGAATCTTCGGAGTTCGGCCGTTGCATTTGATTTGATGTCCTCCATGGTTGCGAAACCCGTCCCCTTGAGGCGCATTTTCAGAGTAGGGAACAGCCAGAAGTCACTTGGAGTGAGATCCGGAGAATATGGTGGTTGTGTGATGACGGGAATGCTTTTCTCGGCGAAGAATTGCTGCACAACCAGCGATGTGTCGAATGCAACGGCCGAACTCCGGAACTGTGTGTGTGTGCAAGGGTCCTACTTTGAAGGTGATTAGGTAAGTGTTGCCATATGTCCTACCATTACAGTGCTATACCATAATTCCGGGAACTTTTTGACTGCCCTACGTATGCTTACAAACTTTACCAAATATCATAGGCATTATGAGACTTATGTGAAACATTTGTAGGTTGTACAGACACAGTATCAGTTTAACTGTAAATAGAAAATATGGCAAAAAAACTCATTCTGTGATATAAGATTACCATATTTCCTAAATTTTAACATGCTATCAATTGTAAGATTCTCCCTTGATTTAGTAATAAGTTTTCAGGAAGGAGGATGCTGTATTGATTCTTAGATGCCATTAAGATGCACCCCAGTTTCAGAAATTTTAAAATGTGAAAAAATGCATCTTACATGATTTTTAATGATTTTTTTATATTCATGTAAGAAAAGTGTGGGCTATCAGATCAGCTGAAACTAGAATTCAGATTCCCACGTAGAAGCATGTTTGTTGAGAAAATAAAGTCTTGAAAATGTAAGTGAAATTATATTTAAATCATTAAATGTAGTGATTCTTTATTTAAAATGTTATTTTTTAATGTACAAGTTGTGTTCAGTGTCTTTTCTCCCTGTCCTGCTACTGGCAAATGTTCTCAGAATCATAGAATATAAAAGTTACGTATCCAGAATCAAATATTTGTTAGCAGGATCACTAAATCTTTGTTTATTTCAGTTGTCGGCATATGTTCTTCATACACTTCCTCTCCATTGGCCAAATGCTGTACCTGAGTTGTTGGCAACTTTCCAGCCATCCAACTTACCTGCCATCCCCCCTGAAAGAACTGCGTGGATTCTTCTTGAAATACTTACAGTTCTTCCTGAAGAGGTAATAGCAGTTTTGTATTCTTAGGATTAAACTTTTGTTTCACTGAAACAGTTTAGAGTTTACTGTACCATTCTGTGTTAATACAGAATTAGGATTCCTGAGCATTTTTTTTATTTGATTAGAACAAGATAGTGTAAATGAAAAACATGTATTTGTTTCCTACATGGGTATCGAGTAAGTCATCGATTTATGTCTTTGTAAAAATTAACCATTTAGTGTGTGGTTTGACGTTTTCTTGCTGGTGACGATTTGGATTGTGATTTGGGATGTAATACTGTATAGTCTTGCAGGTGGTTACCAGTGTTTTAGACGAACTTACCACCTCCATCTTGGGGAAACAATAACCACCTACAAGATAGCACAGTGTTATAACCTGAATGATTAAAATCCAAGTGAAGCCCACAAACTTACCGCTGTGATTAATTTCAGCATCATTTGAATCTTAATTGTTACTCTATTAAATTATTTTGAAAGATGGTGTTTCTTGAAGCATTAGCAGTTTAGTAAATATAAATACATTTGGTGTAGGTTAAAGTGCAATTGAAAAGCTGCAATATAATTTGTGGCATTTATTTCTCAGCCTTATGTGAGGCTGTACTGTGAGATTGGTTTTGTTTCATTTTGTCAGTCTCCAGTTTAAATTTTAGTGTGTACGTTTTAGAACCAAAGTTGTAGATTTTCTATTATTAAAGATACCAGTGATTTAACCTTTAATAGGACTAGGTAATTGAAAATGTGTAATTTATATTTGGTGGTGGAGGAATGGAGAAGCAAGTGGGTGTGGGGGGGTTCAAGGAAATGCAAATAAAATATGAGTTATGGTATTATCTGTTTAGATTCTGAACTGTATGTCATCAGTCAGTGATGTGTATCATTTGCATTGTCATTAGAAAGTTACTATGTTTATTTTTCAACAGATGTCTTTGATTCATATGCTGATGGGAATTTAAAATGTGTTGGGTTAATACTGTACTCCACCAAATGGGTGAAGGGACGTATGAGTGGTAAATGTGTAAAGGGATAAGATACCAACTCCAGAGAAAGCTTTAGCGCATAATAAACAACAGCCAAAGTTTATAATGTTTGTGTGTTGGATACATGACACAGATGCATTAAGTTAATTGTATTCTGTGTATGTATGGCTTTATGGTAATTTAGAGACAGTTGCTTATAACATCTGGGGAAATCTTGCCTTTATGGCCTTCACCATTAATGCATAGTACAAACAGTTTACAGTCTGAAGCTTTCTGTCTTCTGGGTTGTTGCGCTGTGTAGTCTGGTCGATGGTTACCAACGTTTTAGAGGTCATACTGCCTTCGTCATCAGGGCGATGAATATCCATCGACCAGACTACACAGCGCAACGACCCAGAAGACAGAAAGCTTCATAGTCACCGCTGTGAAAACCTCAAATCTTACACAGTTTACAGTCTGGCTGGACATATTGTGGATCTCTAGAGTGGCCTGCCAGGTTCCCAGACTTAAGTGCACCAAATTTTTTCTTTTGGGGATATGTCAAGGTGTGCTATAAAATAAACTTCCAGGATGTGGCTCTAATGGGGCCATCCCCACTTTTAAGTGCAGCATGAAATAAGGTGAAAGCTCAGCGATCAGAAACACTGTGTGCGTGTGTATATATATTCTGAATTTACATAGAATACAAATAGAAAAGAAAAGATAGTGATATATTATTGTGATTAGCAATAATATATAGTAATATGTTATAACATGAGGGAGCACGAAACAACTTTAACTAAAACTCCCAAAAACTGATGCAGTGCAGTGCAGTGCAGTGCCCACTCTTACAAGAAATAATACTGAAAAGTATAGCAAGATTAAATGACATTAAACATCTCTGTGTTTCTTTTATTGCTGTAAAAGCTGATTGCTTCGAACTTCTAGTTTCAGACTTCACATTTTGCAGTGAATGAGAAAGGTCCTGTAAGAATTGAACTTCAGAAAAGCATCCCTCAGGGTGAGTTCGCATTTGGTCTTTTCCAACTTCAAGTGAAATAGTAGGGGTGCTTTACCACCCCACCTTAATATTAGTGGTCTCGACAAATTATGGTTTAATTTATTATATATAGTTTCTGTTTCGTCTGTCTACGAGGACCGTAGTATTCCTGCCTACACCATTGACAGAAGATTGATGTAACAGTTGCAGTATATTATCCAAGTACATTTCTTGGATAAATTATTTCTTGTTGGTGTATTATAGTTTTGTCCCTGTTGGAGAACATCCTTGCAACTGATACATCAACATCTAATAATGAAACAGCAGTTGAAGTGACACACCAGGCAGTATGTTGTGCGGGTTCATGGCTTCAGCTGGGAGTGCCACTTCCAGACTGTGAGAAGCTGGCAAATCATCTTGTAGCATCTATTTTTGCCAGTACATCATCTCCACAACTCCACCAAACAGGGTAAGCCTGTGTTAATTGGATGAGAATGATTTTGTATGGCAAATCCAACTTTAATGTTTGAGAAATGGTATTTAAATTGACTGTTAGAGTTAGTAGCACACTGTTTGTCAAGCAGAGTACTTAAATTTTTATGCTGGCTATAGAAATACTTGTACAGTAAATTCTCAATTATCCGTGTGGTTTATCTAGTTTGCAGATTATCCATGCGTGACGTGTTTCTTTTTACATTGATGCTTACATGTAAATTATGCTTTCATTATTTGTATCTGATTTAGTTTTTTTTTGAGGGGGGGTTTATAGAAGATATGGTCAAACAGTAAAAAGTAAAGCTGTCCCACTATACACCATGCAGGCGCTTGAGGGGAGTGGAGGTATAGCTCCAACTCATTCTTAACCTCAGCAATAGATGAGTTGTCAGCATCACGCCCGGGCCGTGCTTTATCCCCGGGACAGGACTCTGGTACCCATTGTATAGGAGGGTGGACGGGCCCCACAGCCATTCTGGATGCAGAGGCTAGAGGAAAAATCCTGTGCCCCTGTCGGGGATCGAACCCCGGTCATCCACTTCGCAGCCTGTCACTATACTGACTGAGCTACGCATATGTGTAAATTATGCTTTCAATATCTGTACCTGGTTCAGGTTTGTGGGGGGGGGGGGGGGTTATAGAAGATATGGTCAAACAGTACTCTTTTATTTTGATGCTTCAAGGTCATTATCATTGGTATGGTGGGGAGAGGGTATGCTGTAGGTGTGATTGGCTCTTTTCAAATATTGGTGTCTTTCTTACATTCAGTTTTGCTTTGTTGTTCTGTTGCATCATTTAGGTGAAAATTACAGTTAACACTTGTGAATCCTAAAGAATAAGGCTGAAAATCAAAAGAAGATTGTACTGTCAGTAAAATGGAAGCTCAAGTTACTTGAAGAATTTGAATGGAAAATTGGTGACAAAATTAGCCAAAGTTTATGGGGTATTGATTGAGTGATTATGTCCATGAAACAACACTGCTGGGCTTACCGTCTCAGAATACTTGTTGGTGAGAATGACAAAATAATAGCATTATGGTAAGAAATTGTGGTGTTGGATTCTATACAGCATATCTCAGGCATGGTCTTCCTTGAATCCAGTAATGCTTTTTTGATTGTGTTGGAAACTTATTCCAGATGTAGGAAAAGGTGATTTGCAAGGTTTGCTAACAATGAAATCAACAAATTTGTTGTTCTTGGCATGGTGTAGGATATGAGAAAACATTTAACAAAGATGGCACTGAATAATTGCTAGAGAGCAATGCATGAATTGGGCTTTCAACACAGGACAGACATTGTCAATGCTACCTTGAAACAAGGGGAGGAGAAGTGGGTTGGGAGAATAAGAGTGAAATTCATATTGTTATGAGGAGCTGTCTAAACAGTTCACAGAAATCATTACAAACTGTTTCTCAAAATAAATGTCAGTTGCGTACATTTTTTTCGTACTTGTGAATTTTCATGAATGCATCAAACAGAGTATTTTGGATTTTCTATGTTGTTAAATTATTTATGCATCTTCTTCCCGTCATTAGCCCAGATAATCAGGAGTGTACTGTATTTTGATACTTTTGGATTTGCTAAAGCTTGTTGGCATCAGTAGAAATATAAGTTAAGGTATCCCATACATTCAAGGCATTTTCAAGTTTAGATCTGACTAAAGTAAAATACGGCATCAGAAGAGTATCAGAAGATTAGAAGGTAAAGGCACAGATAAGACCCAGCGACTTAATAGCTTGTGGAAATGTGTGACTCACATGTTGGTGAAAATACATATTTGAATTGAGAACAACTCTGAGATCTTTTATAGCGTTTATTTGATTGGCAAGGGATCCCCAAAGATTATACCAAAAAAATACGAATGCTGGTTTTCCTTGAACAAGAAATAATTGTTGTTGTATCAACATTAAGCATCATGCACCAGCCATGTGTGCAGTCAATGTCCTATTGAGGTAAAGAACAATCCTGAGGAGACTTTATGACCTGGAAAAGCTTTGTAATCAACAAACAGAAAATAATTAGAAAATGTAATAACATTACACAAGTCATTGATGAAAGCGTAAAGTAGCAATGACCACAATACAGACTTTTGAGAAACACCAGAAATGGCTTCAATAAGTGATGGCAGCCTCAGAGAAATGAACTAGATAGTCTCTTGGTTAATTAACTATGGAACCAATTTGTATAGCCAGCAGCATTAAGTTTGTGAAGAAGCATGGCCAAAGGTCAAGGTCAAAGGCACTGCTAAGATCAGAACAGATGTCGATGGCTTGACATTGAGAATAACAGCAACAATAATAATAATTATTTTTACAGATTGTTGCTGCCCTCTTGCTAAATATAACAGTCTTCCTTTATTTTCCACAATCTTATTATGTGCTCAGTCTGGTATGATACAAAATATTGTTAGCACTTTTGTTTCTTAGTTTTATCATGGTTATGTGAAGTTTGTGTTGCTAGATAATGTCAAATGCTGTTTTGTAAACTATACATAAAGAACAAGTTGTTTTGGATGTGTTTAAAGAATTGAGTTTGGTTGCTGAACCTACAGGAATTTTGAGTGTGAAGGCGATATTTTTTAGTAAGAGCAAATTTTGCACTTTATGCTGAAACTTTGATATTTGGTACAGGTTGGCTGAGTCAGCATTGGATGCCCTTAGCAATATGCTAACACATCCTGATTCACACAAATATCCTTCCACGTGTATTCGGTTCCTGGAGAAGTTGCTGCCTCTCAAACAGATTATAGAAGCACAGCAGCAACAGCGAGATGGTGCTGAAAGAGATCAGGTGAGTCGCAATGCTGTTGTGTTTGTTAGTGAGGAACTACACAGTAAAGATGTAGCCATTCTTTTAACAGCAGAGAAGAATGTTAAATGACCTGTGTACAGGTTAAATTTGGTGGGTTATGAGCTGCTGCTTTGACTTTTATGGACCTCTTGTTTACATTTTTTACAGAAGAATTACCTCAGTTAGTGGAATATGTACCACTGGCAGTGTGGCAAACTGTTGTTTATGTATGATGGAGCTTCTGGTCATTTTGTCCATGACATGAAGCACTTTTTGGATTCTCATACCCAGATTGATGGATAGAATGAAACAGGTTGATTTTGTAGCCCCCATGATTGCCTGATCTCACACCTGCTGACTACTGTCTGTGGGACTATCTGAAGGGCATAGTTTACTTCAAAAGAGTCACCCTACAAATTAATTTTGGCATTTTATTCAAGTGGCTTTGACGTCAGTATGACACATGCCATGAATTCTTCAGTATACCGGGAATTATTGGCATTACAGGGCTCATTTTTGCATTAAAAGTAATGGAAGAGATTTTTTAGCAACTTTTGTAAACATAAAGATACTCCTATCTTGAAATCTAATAAATAAATGCCATTATGGAGTAAATATTGCTTGTCTCATTTGATTTCACATTCTCACTAATTTGGTTGCAACCATATGTCTATGGGAACTCTATGGGTAAATTTTAGAAGTACAAAATGATCCTTTATATTACATGTAATTAAGAATCACACTGCTTATTGCATTTGTTTTATTGCAATTAAGCTGTTCACTGTCGAAGCCTGTATTCCATATGTATGCTTGTGCTTATTTCAGGAGTTGGTGTCCAACATCTATGGCTTATTTATTTCATTTGCAGAGAGTCACTCCCGACTCATGTTGGATTCGCTGTTAAATGATGATTATAAGATTAATGTCCTGCAGTTGGTACAACTGATATTTCAGTGCAGCAATAGTCCTGGCATATATCCTATACAGGAGAACACGAGCCAATCGGCTCTAGGCTTCTGGTACATTTTGCAGGTATGATGGTTTATGTACTCTGTATTATCAGCATATACCTTTCCAGTCTTGTGTTCAATAAGATATGTTAGAAACGCACTCACTCCTGTCATAATTCAGTTCAATTCTTTATTAATCTCGTGCATCATAATATATTTTTGTAAGATTTGAGGTTTTCAAAGCAGTGAGTATGAAGATTTCTGTCTTCTGGGTTTTTGCGCTGTGTAGTCTGGTTGATGTTAACCAACGTTTCAGAGGTCATACTGCCTCTGTCATCAGGGCGATGAATATGCCAATCTTGGTCCACTCCCACGCCTGCTCCCATTGACTCGGGGCAGGCTACTCCATTCACAGTCTGGCTCCTATAAACCTAGCCCCACACACCCTATTGGCACATTCATCGCCCTGATGACGGAGGCAGTATGACCTCTGAAACGTTGGTAAACATCGACCAGACTACACAGCGCAACAACCTAGAAGACAGAAATCTTAATATATTTTTATTATATTGCTGGCAGAGTCGTCTGTTGGCAGAAATAAGTACTACTAATATTTTTGGTAGCCACCTATCAGTATATGCTTCGTACTATCACTGTCTCATGCATCATGATCACATTTCTGTTGTGTAAAGAAATATTGTATTGTAGACACTAAGAATGTTAGTGCTTCTGGGAAGAAATAAGCATGTTGTTGATGTAACAGGATGACATCATTGCTTCAGAACCAGAGCAGTTCAACTTGTATGTGGTGGTGCTATCCCCAGTGTATAGAGCTCTGGCTGAGGTGATGATACATAAGTCTATGCTGCCTGCTGCAGAAGATACATGGAGCAATGAGGAGAAGGAGTTGCTACGATGTTACCGGCAAGACATAGCGGACACCATGGTATGTGAATAACTTGGTTACCAAGTCACAAGTTCTGCCTCTAATTTTTGTAAATATTGAAAGATTCACTGCACCTCCAAATTGCTTCATCAGAAAATATTACTTATATTGTATTTTAAATGTTGTTCTAAGCATCACCTATATACGTACTAATGAAATCTAAAAATATAATACAGTAAACTGCCAGTTATCTGGGACAATGAAGGGGAGGAGATGCACAAAAATCGAAAAACATGGATAATCCAAATGTTTTGTTGGTATATTCACAAAATGCAACTGATGTTTGTTTTGAGAATCGGTTTGTTATGGTCGTATGTTTTTGTGAGTTGTTTAAACTTCTATTTGTAATACAAATTTTCCTGGTGGCTGTAGTGTCACTGTAACAAAATCATCTTATTTGTGATTTCTGGATGCATTTAGCAAAACATGACGATTAGGCCCAGGAGCATACTTCTGTCTTTAATAGAAAAGGTTTCATGTAGGCAAGCCTGTCCAATATAGTCCAGACTTATTGGCAAAGTAAGTTTTATCAGGTTCTATGTTTTTTCCTGTACAAAATTCTGAAATTCTTTGTGGAATGTATCAGCAGTAGCATCATTGGCACTAAGACCTCATACAGCAGTTCTGTGAGTTCCATATCATTACTTTAGTTTGTTCAGCCTTCCAACAGAGGGATTCAACTCACCTTAGCTTTATGAAGAACTTGGCTTTCTGTGGTACATGGGACCAGAGACAAATGTTCCATCTGCAAACTTCTGGTTGAACCACTGAAGAAGGGCAACATCCACCTCATTGTATGAAGACTTTTTCAATTCTTGTAGTTGGAAGGTCCAGTACCTCTGTCAAAATCCTTTACAAATTTAATTTACTTCATTTTGTTGTTCTCTCAGAGGGCTGTTATGCCATGGATTATTATCATTATTATTATTGTTGTTGTTGTTGTAATAATATATCACATACAGTTTCTATCCCTACCTCATAATCTTTGGCTAATTTTGTTACATATTGCACATGCCCAAATATTTATATTCACCGTAGGTTTTGATTTACTGTCAGTAGAATTTTCTTAAATTTCTCAACCATTTTACTTCAATTCCTCAAGTGTTTTATCCGTTGGGTACCAGGGTCCTTTCCCGGGTGTAAGCATGGCTGGGGTGTGATGCTGACCACTCACCCCCATCTAGTGCTGAGGTTTAGAATGTGTAGTAGCTATACCTCCTCTCCTTCCGAGCACATACATGGCGTATAGTGGGACCTCAAATCCTACAAACTTTCACATAACTGATGCACAGTACAAAATAACAATTGACTGTAAGACACTAATGTTTAAAAAAGACCAAGGATATCTACTGTAGGCCCTCTCAATCCTAACTGACCCCTGAAGTGAAGCATACAGTGTAGAAGGCGGATGAAAGTCTAGTTCACACATGTCTGCATTAAAGTAAAAGAAAAGTCATAATTTGATAATTTGCAAACCAATGAAGTCATGCGTGGATAATTTGAGTTTACTGTAAATTAGACGTGACTTTGGATATTTGGTTTTTGTGAAGTAAAAAGTAAAGGTTGCATAAAATATAAATTAATAGTCCCAGTGAATTTAACTTGTATGTCACTTTCAGTGAAGATATTTTTATCTATGAATATACAGTGAAACCTCTATCCATCGTTCCCGGAACTATCGTTTTCCCGGATGCATCGTCCGTTTTGTTCGGTCCCGAATACATCCCATATAAAATAATGTTACATTTTCCCGCTTCTATCGTTCCTCGAACTATCGTTTTATCGCATCGATCGTTCAAAAATCTTAGTCCCGGCCAACAATTTTCCCGCAATGATCGTTTCTTGTAGGTAAATGCTGCCTCTATCGTCGGGGTGATGAGCGATGATAGAAGTGAACTTGTGCCAGACTGATTACATGGTGCCATAACCAGCAGACAGCCATCTTTATACTAACCTACAAATGTTTACCCATATCTGTAGAAGATTAATTAATCTGGTTGTTCACAGATGTATTGCTATAATATTTTACGTGAGAACTTACTGGAATTACTACATGGTAAATTAGAAGAGGCACTGGAAAAGTGTAACAGTGATCCACGAATGTGGTGGAGATACTTGGAGTCATGTCTGCATGCATTCCAAGCAGTTGCGGAATGTGTTGACATTGACGAATCAAGACATTTACCAAGATTTCTAGAAACACTGCAGTGTCTGCCATATCACCAGCTTGACACTCAAGTAATTATCACTGCTTTGGAAGCTGTTGGTAAGTTTTATAACTCACCATGTTTACTTGCATCAAGAAAAAAGGTGGGAATAGGCGTTAGACATTGACTTGTTTATAGATACATGCCCCCAGAAATTGAAGAGTAATTTTCTCATGTCAATTGTAAGTTGCTGAAAAGAGAAGTAGCATAGTTGCCTGGTTGAGACATTTTTGGATATAAGATGTTATAAGTGGATAGTTGTAAAGTTAAAAATGTTATTGTTTTCCCAAATAACATTCTTAGGTACAACTCAATACACAGATGTAGTAATGGTTTTCTTTTTCTTCGTAGTCGCTGGTTGTGTGTCCGCAGAATGCTTTATTGACAAGAAAATAACATAATCATAGTAATGTTCCTTCATCACTGCATATTGGCCCTAGATATACTGTTATTTCATGAATGTTTACTCACAATTATTAGTCTTGTCTGTAGGTTTTTATGGCTGGATTTCAGTGTATAACTTTGGCTTTCAGGCGAGAGCTGTGTCGGCTATTTGGTGTTAACCAGCTTTTGGCAAACATTGCAGTTGCCATTTTCAAGGTGGATGATGTGGGGTCATTACAGGAGGTCTTGTGTAGGGCAGTCAGTGGGTGTGAGATGAATTCCATGGCGCTGATTGGTGGTGTGGAGGAACTGGCTACTATCCCAGTGGGAGAGGAATATGTGGTTGAGGATGGAGGTGGCAGGAAAATAGGGAGGAGGTGAAGAGGATGTTCTGATTAACATATAGGAAAGGATTTGCAATAATTAAATGAAGGGGAGTGGCGACTGTTTGTGGTTAGGAGAGGTAAAGGTGCCTGCTCTTTTGAGAGCCCAGTGGGGGCGGTTGTTTTAGGGTAAAAGGCACAGCCAGGCTTTACTCATCTTGTAGCCATCTTCATGGTTGCAGGTGTTTGGATGTCTCTGTAGACTCACTGATTATGTGGGGATGGTAACTGCTGATGTTGGCAGTGATTTCTGTTGTGACAAAGTCAGTGTTATGTCTTGTGACTGTAGAAAGCTCAGCTACTGCTGATTGCTAGTTCTACGGTCTGGTGTCATATGTGTTTCATAATCCTGGTGGAGATGTGACGGCTTGTTTATCTGATGTACATCTTTCCACAAGTACACAGAATCTTGTAAACTATGAATTTTTGAGTCGGGAGGTGTCTGTCTTTGGCTGAAATGAATTTGGTGGTCAGTTTGTTAATTGGTATCTGTATTGTTAGGATGTAATGTTTTTGCAGAAGTCTGAAGATGCGATCAGTGGTTCTATGTAAAGAAATCTGCATATCAAGAGTCTTTCTTGTTATTATATTATATCACATGATTTGATGAACTTTTGTTTAATGTATACAACCGTTGTAAACACTTGGAAGTAAATGTCACTCTTAAAATCAGTAACACAATTTATTTGAGCATGTTTAGTATTAACAGTAATTAACATAAAAACTGGCCCTAGAATAGTTCTTTATAATCACAACAAAAGATCACAGTATGTCTACATACTGAGCAACATCTCCCAAAAAATCGTAATATCAACAGATTACTGATATGAGAATATTTCTGCTTGTTGTATTCTTCTTGGTTGGTTAGTAGCAAAGATTTTGCTCATATGGAATAATTGTTGATAGGTGTTGCATAATTATGTACCTCGGAAGTAGAGCTTCTGTTCATGAATACACAGTTTGAGAAACCGCATTTGAGTGTGTTGACAGTGGCTGTGAAAATCTACCGTTTGCTGCTGTTGAAGCATTTTCGAATCTGTTCAATACAATATGGAAGTTACATGACAGGTGCTAAATGTCTCTTTTCATACATATTATTGAATTGTTTTTCTATGCTTTTTTTCCTTTTTAAGTGGAAGGTTACCCTTATTTTTTAATTAAAATAAAAGTAATGAAACCTATCCTTATAGCTGAAGTCTGAAAGTTTGTAATGATGGTGCATTGTTGAAGCAAATTGTATACATCGTCCAAGATTAAATAAAATCAATAAAACCATGCCATTTTGGAGATGGGAGTCTATCTTCAGGTAAAACCTACTCTTTTGGACCCAATTGATAGAGCTAGTCCCTATCTCTGGACATGGAAGGAGTGGAAGTTAATGTAAACTGAGCAGGACAGCGTGCATTCATGGGAGATAAGGAAAGAAACATTCTCCAAAAATTACATAACATGGGTAGGAGTTGGTGCATATGACCAAGGTAACATACTGAGAAAAGTACAACAAACTAAAACACCAAAAGAATGAAAAATGTGTTTTTTATTGATTTTATTTAATCTTGGATGATGGATAATATCCAGGAAACAATTTACTCCTGTCCTTATAGTTTAGTAAATGAAATTGTTATGAATAAGATAAAATGTATGTTGCAGGGGCTTATGCTGAGTGGATCAATGCACATCCATCTGTGTTGAGCCATGTTATACCTCTGTTGATAACTGGACTGGGTAGTGGCGATCTTGCTCCAGCAGCTACAATGGCTCTGAAGGATCTCACTCGGGACTGTCAGACCAGTATGGCTCCATTTGCACATCACATTCTACAAGCTAGCCAGGTATATAGTATTATTAACTTTTATTGGCTGAAAGGGAAACCAGTTTCCTGTGAAACGTACTTGTAATTGGTCAAATGTTACTATATTGCCCCGTTACATCATTGTATTGTCACAGCTGACCTTGTGTCACCCGTAATGGTGGAAGCTTCTATCAATCCTTGAATTATGTTGGAAAGCTCTCTCTCTCCCCCCTCCCCAAATTATATGAGGCATCTCATGTACCAAATATTCTAGTGATATCTGGTGAAGTGCGGAAGGATGAGGCAGCTTGTGGCTTGTTCCGGATCATTGGAATCCCGTGTTCTATAAATAATGGGCCACAAGAAGTGAGAAAACAATTGAATTGGAATCAACTATCATACTGACAGCAAGTGGATCGTGAAGTGCTCTGCATACGCCAACTGAGCAGCAGAATTGAAATGTTATTGACTGGTGTCAGGGGACCAGAAGAATGGTATCACACTGTAGAAGGACACATTTATATCTATTTAATCGGAACATTGATTTGTGAAGTGACAGCAATTGATCCAGGGTGATGGTATACTGATGCTGTTTTTATGCTTATGTGATGCTGTTGATTTGATTTATGTTTATATTATTTTTAATTAATAATGATGGTTTTTGTAGTTTTTCCTCCTTGCTAGATATAAACTCAAGTTTTCTGTTTTGCATTCTTGATAGGAAGCCCTCCGTGGTGAAGAACTGAAGTTGGGTGAGTGCGTAAGACTGATGTACACAGTTGGTCGAGTCCTTGCCGTGCTTCCTGTGGATAGCATCATGGACTATTTGAACCAGCTGCTTATGCCATACGTGGAAGAGTTGCAATATCTAGTCACACACGAGGCAAGTAAAGGCATTTCTGTTTTGGGTTTTGAGTTTAGGGAAATTTCAGTAGTTTTATACCTATGTTATGTATAAACTTTGAAAATTGTACATATTTTGTTAAGATAAGATGTACAGGTAAAACATGCTGCCAAAAAAATCTATATTTAACATTCATTTGGTTGATGATAATTGTCAGAGCTGTTTATGTGATATTTTACACGGAGGTAGGATATGAATGTAGCTAAAAAATCTGAATGAAACATTTTTATACGTTAACATATACAAATTTAGTGACATTGTAAAAATTTGAGGTTATGGTATGGAAATCTGTCTCAGTGGGAATCGGATAGAGAGGGATCACAACATCCAGCTGTTTATTTCTAGTGTCGTTTAGCCTCACTGTATAGATTACCTTCTTATCAGATCATACTTCACAAAGATACATTTTAATAGTGCATTAATAATGTATTAAAATAAAAACTAATAAAGTAAAGTAAAGTTTGTCCTGCTACGTGCCGTACAGGCGCTTGGAGGTATAGCTCCTCTCTTTCTTGACCTCGGCACTAAATGGGGGTGAGTGGTCAGAATCACGCCCCGACCGGCTTTACCCCCGGGAAAGGACCCCTTTTACCCATTGTAGAGGAGGCTGGGTGGGCCCCAGAGCCTGTCTGGACGCAGAGGCTAGAGGAAAAATCCTCTGCCCCCGTCGGGGATCGAACCCCAGTCGTCCAGCCCATAGCTAGTCACTATACTGACTGAGCTATCCCGGCTCATAAATCGAAACTAATAGTTCTCTGTAACTTCTAGCCTAATGCAGCGGCAAAGGCAGGCATCCTTTTAAGATTGAAGATGCTGGGTATGTTATTTGCAACGCTAGACATCAAACCGCGGTCTGAAAATGATACAGAACCCGATGTGTCAGAAGGTTCAGATATGGGAACTAGCATCACAACACAGCAAAGGACTCAGCAGCAGTCAACTGGATCAGGAAGCGGTGAACAGGTTCAGCCTGTATTTTTTGTCCTACAAAGAATCTTGCCTGTTACGCTGGCCATTGTCGAGAAGTGGTATGCCGACGCCCATGTCATCCAGGTATGAAGCACCAAGTTGTTCATTCATATTCTGATTGTCATGATTAACAGTGGCGGAGTGTAGCATAGAATCGGGTCATCAAATCAAGTTCAAGGTTACAGAAATATTAGCCAATACAATAGGTTATATGGACCTACTGTTTGAAGAGGCAGTATGAATATGACTACATCCAGATAGCAGCAATAGAGAGGATGTGTTCAAACTGAGCTAAGCATTGAACCTTGCCATAAAAATATTACAAACCACTGGCACAGACAGTTTTAATGTTAGACGATATAGGTTCGAAGATGGTGGAGAAAAACAATAGGCAAAAACTAGTCGACAGACGTAGGATCATGTTCCAGGTTAAGCAACAGGGTAAAACAGGTTAAGCCGTCTCATTATGTGCCATGTAGGGGCACAGGGGAGAGGAGGTATAGCACCTACTCATTCTCAGTCACGGTACTAGATGGGGGTGAATGGTCAGCATTGTGTCCTGGCCAGACTTTACCCCTGGGGAAAGGACCTCTGGAGCAACAGGGTACTCAAACTAAAGTGGGGAGGGGTAACCATACATTTTGACTTCACCCTCCAGTCACACTACGCCAGTAAGAATGAGTCATCCGTGGGATGAACTGGTATATAAATCAGTGACTTTAGTCATTCCCCACATTGACACTGTTAATGATGACAGAGCTAGTCTCCAAAATGATGGTTTTTAACTTGGCATTGGCACAGCTGATTGCTAATTGGATTTCATAGCATTCATTTGCAGTGTAAGTTTCAAATCTCACATACTTCATCTCTGTTGGGAGAAAATACATCACAATGTATGACAAGTGAGTCTTACCTGCGTGAAAGTTAAACACCACGTAGATGCCCGGGCCACCAGAAGGGTTCTACACTGGACTAGCTTAGAATTGATAAGAGAATGGATACATCGTAGATGATGAGAGCTTGACATGAATGGCCAGACCCTACTGAAAGTGCTGGGAGACGATAACTTTGTGTCTGCTCTAAGTAGCGTGTCGTTAGTATTTAGTTCATACAGGAAGCTGGGAAGGAGATGTCCCAGGTAATTTTGCATTTACTGGTGTACAAAATTGTAATAAATGTCACTTCCAATGAATTGTTAAAGCTTTCTCTGTTAAATTTATTGCTCATTTTTCTTGGCTAGTATTATTCTTATTACCAGATGGAAAAAGTTAATTACTTTTGTATTTTTAATTCTGTTATGAAGATATTTTTATATACATTTGAATCTTTATGCAGTCTTTGTATGAAATTAATGTTTATCAGTTATTTTTAAAATCATTGAAATTGGTCCATTGTTGAATGTTTCATGCCCTGGGCCATTTTTATTATTATGGATCCCTTGTCTTACAGTTAGTCATTTCATCTGATGACTCGGATATTTCAGGTAGTATGCTCAGCTCTAAGGCACGCACTGGCAACATTGTTAGATGACTGCAAACCTCTTGTGCCAGAAATGTTGGAACTGCTAGTGAAGAGTTACCGGCTTCAGCTACATCCACCTGCCTTGGATCTTGCTAAACAGGTAAAGGATTATAAATTTCTTAAGCACAAAGGACTCTAAAATTCAAGAAACAGGTACAATTTCAGTTGATATTACAAATATACAAAATTAAAGAAAGATAGTTGGCAATGAAGACATGTCAGGAATATAGAGATAAAGCTCCACACAGCATGTGCCTTTGAAACGTTGGTATCTGCCAGAGTACATGGCACCACAACCCAGACGACAGCATTTTGATGCTCATCACTGTGAGAACCTCAAATCGTATAGGGTAATTTCTGTAATGGCACTTGAATGCATGGATATGATTCCCAAATGTAAAGGCCGTAGCTGGCTGATACAGTTAGCAGGGATAAATATCCACCTGAGAGGATTTTATCATGAACTGTTCACGAGAGTTCATAACCTTCAGTCTCTTGCAATAGTCGGTCATTTTTGCGGTCTTCTACAGTTTCTGAATCGGCCTCCTACTCTCACTATAACCTTCAGTCTCTTGCAATAGTCAGTCATTTTTGCAGTCTTCTAGAGTTTCTGAATCGGCCTCCTACTCTCACCTGATGAAGTTCTGTAAGCAACATTGTGTTTCCTTTTAAATTTGTCAATGCAACCACTTGAAGCCCAAAAAGTCTGATATTCCCACATGAGCAGTGATGTGCAAGTCCTCCTTGAGGTGTATGTGATCTACACATGTACCTGCTTGAACCATACAGGATGAACAGATTCCAGTTCCTCCAGTGATAAACAACTCGGTGATTTCCGCTGCTTGAAGTAAGGTCCATGCCAGCCAGACATAACTTCTTTCAATTTCTTCACAGTTTCTCACAGTAATGTTTATTGTGGACACTGGAAGTATCAACTGTAATGTCAGTTCAGTGCATGTTCCAATATGTGCATAAATTTTGCTTAATATTGCCTTTTTTATTTTTGTAAATGATTTATGTTCGCTATTAGTATCCATATCCCATCTCCGAAACTTCGTTTTACGTTTTATATTTATTAGACGATGGATAATATCCAAGAAAATTTTTATTCAATTGACTCATCATTCACTTTTGTGATTATCACACAAATTATATTTACTGATTGCATTGAACTGAGTGTAGTTCAGTTACACTGCACTAACCGTATTTCAATTGGATGGTAGTAAATCTATCAAAATCTGAAACTTTCTGCTCTACAGGTGGAAGTATTTTGCTGGATTATTATGAAAATTATAACCACAAAATATAAAAGTTATGGCAAATAAAGTGCAGCCATCTTGGTTTATTTGATGACAGATCTTATATTTTATGCTTGTAATTTTCATACTGATTGGGGGGAAATACAAAATAGGACTAAGAGGCCCCTTAATTTCAGCTTTCAATACTTGTATCACATTTACTACCACCTAATTGGATGCCGTTGAAATTCTAAGTCAAAGAAAGACCTTTGAATCACTGGTTACTCATTGGCTAGAAACAGTCATCCATAAAATCACCAGCTGTTTAAATAAATAGGCCAAAATCATTCACATTTCCAAAATGTAAAATCATTATAAGTTGTATGATATTTTAAGTTTTCACAGTGAAAATGTGGTTTGTGATCATCTGGGTTGTGATACTGTAGGACCTACAATTTTGCATGGAGTCATAATCCAGAAGACCGTTGTCTACTCCATCATAAGTTAATATAGCTGATTTAAAAATATTTTTACTTGGAAAGAATTCACAAGTAAGACAATTTTATGCAAAGACTTTGGGGCACCAGATAAATTTTATTTTTGTGAGTAGGGTGTGTTGTTTCATTACCAGTTCCTAAACTACTAACAGAATTATTTTACTCCATTCCTTTGCAGTTTCTTATATTGTATGGCAAGGATGGGTCGCAGTTGCCTCTGATGAAATCTCTGCTCAAGGAGGTGTGTTCAGTAACCTTGATGACCTGTAGTGGTAACTCCAACACTCCTGGAAGCAGTTTATCTGATCATGCTGACATTTTGGCAACTTTTTTTTGTCTGCTTGCACAAATCCTTAAGAAGAACCCACAACTTTTTGTTGATAGTGAAGAAATTGATCTAGCTGCTCTTTTCCAGTGTGGTGAGTTCGGGTGTTCATTTAATGACTCTTTAGGCAGCAGGGGCTGCAAGGTAAAGAACAGTGGGTTTAAAGCAAGCCATCTGCAATGTTGGTAATGGAATCGGCAGTGACAGCGTAGCAGTAGATCTGCTGAGAAACAATTTAGCATAATACAGACTTTTTACTTTTGTGCCACTTTACTCTTGAATGGCCATTACATCTATGCTTCGACTTTGCACAGTTTTGTCTTGTAGATTATTTAGTGGAGTTATCATACCACTATGAGCCGGCATACCTCAGTCAGTATAGTGACTGGCTACGGACTGGTTGACCGGGGTTCGATCCCCGACGGGGGCAGATAGCCTCTGCGTCCTGACCGTTTCTGGGGCCCACCCAGCCTCCTATCCAATGGGTACCAGGGTCCTTTCCCAGGGGTAAAGCGCGGCTGGGGCGTGATGCTGACCACTCCCATCTAGAGCTAAAGTTGAGAATGAGTAGGAGCTATACTGCCTCTTCCCCAAGGTCCTGCATGGCGTATAATGGGATAGCTTTACTTTACTTTACTATCATACCAATCCTTTATGCTCACTACTGTAATTAAGTTAACTCTACACCTCCTCTCATGTCTAGCTCAGCAAGCTGACTCATTGTTTGAGAACAGACATGATTAAGTATCGTGCATAAATTCAGCAGCTTCTTTAAAGAAAGCTTGCAGATATCTAGCATTTTATGTGTATTTTACAGGAACTTTGACGCTTTCTTTACCAGAGGCATCTGCTGTGAATGCTGCTACATCCTTTCTGGTAAACTTTGTTTCACTGAGCAGAGAAGTAGTTCAGCTGTTAACAGTTGTGCAGACCTGTGGAGAAGAATTAGTGCAGAGACTTCTTCGATGTATTGGTAAGCAACTTGAAAATGTTCTTTTGCCTTTGGAATATTAGTGTATTTCAAAGGTTACACATTTTCAGTATGGATAAGAGGGATTTCAGATTTTCGCAAGAGAGAGTATGAAGATTTGTCTCTTCTGGGATATGGCACTGGGTAGACTTATGGAAATTGACCTCAATTTTGGACCTGCTTACTTCCTCCATCATCGTCATCATTTCCCTGACAGTGAGCACCTCTGATACATAGGTCAATTCCTACAAGACTACACAGTGCAACATCAAAGATGAGTGTTCATGAAAGGATAAGAAGTGAAAAAATTAGAGAAAATATGATACAAATTAACAAGTAACAAACATTCTGGATTGTGGGTTTTTTGGACCTTGTCCGTTGTTCAATGTTTTAAAATTACATTAGCTCATTGCTCATCTTAATGGACATCACACCTGAAGACAGAGACAAATTCAGTCCTTGAAATATGTAATTTTATAACATCTGATTGTGGACAAGGTCCAAAATCCTAATAATCCAGATTTTATTACATCATTATCAGAACCCTTCAGAATAGCTGCTCCATATCGGTGGATCTTCTGTGTCTGGTATCATTGCTACTCCTATTGTCCACACATCGAGAGAGGTTGTTTTTGTGCAACCGTGACCTCATTTCATTCTTACAAGAATGTCTTTGAAATGTCAATGTACATTAAATAGTATGCTTTTTCAGTCTTGTTGTGTGTCTTTTAAATCACATTAATCTCTTAAAATTTTTATTATCAAAATCAGCTATTAATTTAGATATGAAACTATATATTTTCCAAAAAATATAAAGAAAAGTAAATGAATGCCATCCAGATAAACTCTTTCATAGCTATTCACACAGATGCTCCTCTTTTTCATGTATTTACCATATAAAAATGTTTCATATAAAGGTTTTGTATTTTACTGTGGCCCATATTTTGTTGTATTCCAATCTTCTGCGTCATTTTTGAGAAACTCAATAAGTATAACTTATACCAGTCCAGAACCCCTGTAACTGTTTGACTTGAAATTTGAACTGGCCAGCAAATCACGTGTGAAAGATCCCACTCTAGCAAGTCATGTGTGGAGGTTCCCACGCTAAGAAGGGATCTGGAAGTTAGGTCATGAACACGTGCAGTCGACAGCGGGCTTTCAGCCAGTGTACAAAACTTTTGTACCAGTTATGGAAAGTGGTGTATAAGATTACCCAAATTTCAAAAGTAAAAGTATTCTGTGTTCTTCTTTAATTTGTTGTTCCTTTGTTTATTTATAAAAAAAAAATACCACATCAACCCTGAGGTGATCCTTGTTCCCCACTGACTCTAGTTCGGGATGCAACTATCTCTAACCGCCGGAACAAAGAAAGTGTTAGGCAGTGAGAAAGTAGAAGTATAACCTCAGTATCAGTTTTATGTGATGTATTGTTTATATTAACGGGTATGAAGCAAAATCAAATTCATGTGTAAACAAAACTTAAATTTCTTGAATTACCAATATTGATACTTGATTATACTCGAAATCCGTAGCTCAGATAGATTATATGGGCTGTAACTACATTTACTGTAACACATATTGAATTGCCTGAATGCAAAAATGGTTTGTGATGCTGGACACAATGTAAGTCTGAATTAATATATTGATTGTATCTTGAACTCAGGTGGAGAATCACCAAGATTAGTCATGGAACATTTGTCAGACCTTTTACTGGCCTTGAACAAGAAACACTGTGACAACCTTTGTCGCTGGCTACAGCAAGCCATCCATCAAGATGGTTTCCCTTCTGTGAGAGTTTCTCAAGAGCAAAAGGAGCATTTCGTTAAGATGGTGCTAAAGTAAGTCTTTATGATTGCAGGGTTTGGTATTTGTACTGCATAAATCTTTGTCAAGACATTTCTGTATATGAATATGAATTTTGTATGTGCCAACACATATATTTGTATATCATACTTTTTTTAATTTCTCAGTATATTTAGTGCAAAGGAACTAATGTGAAAGAAACTTCCTGTTAATATTTTATTCAGTTAGCCATTCCTTAGTTATATTGAGGCAGAACTTGGTCGTTCCTAGGAACACCAGTGGATAATGGCACAATCTTAGATGAAAAACATAACAGATGGACGGGCAGAGAGATGTCGACAGGCCCACAAGCTGTTCTTCATTTATGCTATTAATGTAAAATGTAAAGAATATCTAAACATTAGCAGGAGTGATGCAACGAGCATGCACATAGTGAAAGGAGTCTGTTTTGAAGGAGAATAGTCTCCCATCCCTATAAGTACGGGTAAACCTCGATTTACGCCGGCAAAGTGTTTCTGGACGAACTGGCGTAAATTGAAACTCTTTTTATAATGTAAATCAATGGGAAGTCAATGACATGCGTTCCCGGCTCCCAAACATTGACGACTTAAGTTCTTCAAAAATTGACTTCGCCTTATCCGTGATAGCAGTTTCAGTCAAGGGAATGCTTTTTCGATTCATGTCATCCACCCATAGTAACAGTAATTTCTGCATTCTATCTAAACGTTTACTTCTGCTATAACTCACTTGCGTTGCACTTACTCTCGTAGCCTGTTGCATCGACTGTTTTATTTTTATGAATTTTTCATTATGGTAGTCACAGTGGAAGGAGGCAACTTCATACTTTTGCACACATTACGACGGGTATCACCACCTTCTATTCTGCGAATTACGTCCATCTTATCTTCTAACGCAATAGACCTACGCAACTTTTTAGCAACACATTCACTTCTCTTACCAGACATTGTGGCTCTTCTACAATTTATAAATATCAAACAGTTGCTACTGCAGAATAGTGGTCAACAACAACACAAACACGTTTAGCACACAGTTTTCAGCACATTCAATGTGTCAACAAGAAGTGAACTGAGCGCGTTTTTCCTTACTTCCTTATCAGGCTGAATGCAAATGACACACTGTGAAGAGTGACCAATGCTCACGTGACTGTTGCGCAATGTTGGCAGATTTTTGGGAGATTATCTCGCAACTACTTAGCAATGAGTGCAGAGGTGACTGTATTTATAATTTTTATTCAAAATCAGCGATGTGAGAATTGCGATTTAGTACGAGAAACATTGTAAAACGTTATAAATAGTAGTAAAATTTTTTTTTTTTCACTTTTTGACTTGCTGGCTTCAAAAGCGGCATTATTCTGAATCGGCGCAAATTGAAGTGGCGCAAATCGAGGTTTGCCCGTACAGTATCTTAGGTTTCCAGGTTCTACACGTTTGGCCTTGATGGTTTTATCAGGCCTTGTCGACAAAACCTGTAATGGCTGGTGTGAACGAAATTAATATATTAATATATTGCTTTATGACTAATTTATCAAGTGTCAGAATAATTATCATCAGTAGAATTATGCAGGACATTATTCAACTGTCTTACCGGTTGGTTTTCTCTACTACAAAATTAATATAGAATTTCAAAATTAATGCCTCAGGATTATCACAGAATTTCTGATAGGTCTGTTTCCCAGTGAGAAAACCTTTTCAGCTTTTGAAAATGAGTGTCTTTGGGGTTGTTGCATTGTGTTGTCTGATAGAAGTTAACTGAGGTTAAAGAGATGTTTGCTGTCTTCATCAGGGCAATCTGATTATGGAGGAAACAAGCACCCCCTGAAATACGTTAAACTTCTACCAGACTACATGGCACAGAAATCCAGAAGACAGTCATGTTTGTATTTTCCACTGTGAGAGTCTCACTTTGACTTTTATTCAGTGGGTTAAGGTATTTATATTTATTTTTAATCTGGTAGAAAGCTTTCAGCTTAATTACTAGAAATGAAAATAAGTACTGTTTCCAGGTAATTCTTTATCGTATTCTTTGTGTGTAGTACTTAAAACAAAGGTGTTTGGTAATATACATATTATGTTTTTTCTTTTGTAGGGAACGTGCCAACAAACGCAAGTTACAGGAGACTGTGCGAGAGTTCTCATTGATTTGTCGTGGTCTGGTTGGAACAGACTATGCTGCCCAGTCCTCACATTTCTTTTAATCATCGGAGTCTATTTGTTGCTTTATATAGGTGATGGTAAGTGACAGACATCTGTGATATGGCCGATTCTAGATATAAATATTATATTTCATCCTGTTACCATATTTATCTACGTACCATATAACCCAAAATAGGCATACATCCCAATTTTTCGTAGTGTTTTTAAGACAAAATATTTTATTAATGAAACTACTGCTAAATATTAAAAATTAATACGTTGTGTGGCTTATCCCATACTAGAAATCTTTACAATTATGTGTGATTGCTGGTAAAACCACAATAGCATGAACAATTTTTAGAAAGTGCAGTAATGTACTTAGTATAACTGATATCATTCCTGTTGATATCATTGCTGTCTGGATTATCTTGACATTATCAGTGCCACTTAATGTAGTTCCACTGCGATTAAAATGCAGACTTTCTTTTCTACACGTTAGGAAGCCTTTGTGTAATACTTGTTTTGTAGGATTTGAGGTTTTCATGATGGTGAGTCTGAAGTTGGCTGTCTTCTGGCTTGTTGCGCCGTGTGGTCATCGCCCTGATGATGGAGGTAGCAAGGACCACTGAAACGTCGGTAAACTTCAACTAAACTGTGCAATGCAAGAATCCAGAAGTCAGCCATCTTCTCATACTTGTTTGTCATTTTTAAGAAAAATCCTTCCATTTAAGAAATTTCTGTAATCAACCTTGACTTTCATTAAAGTGCTGCTTTACAGTGTCATGATTTATAGTCGGTACATTTCACATGACACCACGTATCCATACTTCCACTCTCATTTAACCTTCCAGTAGTCTCGCCGAAATGTGTGGCATGAGAGCTGAAGACTATTGCAGATTAATAATATAGTAAACTACAAAGAAAGAAACTTTACATTTACATGAATTTAATAGGTATTATACTGTATTGTATGTTACAAAAACATAATCGGAAATCATTTAAAATAAAAGAGTGTAACAAAGGTAATAATTTTACTTATTTTGGCATTTAATATTTTAAAAACAAAAATGTGTCAGAGCAATCACTGCAGAATTACGTGCATAGTTTTTGTTTTAGAGTAAACATGAAAGCATAACTAGAATTTAGAAACAAAATATAAAGTTTTTTGGAAAATTATTCAAGAGTATTCATTCCTAAAAAATCATGAAATAGTCATACGAAGTTCTTGCAGAAGTATGTAGTTTTTGTATTTTCTCTGTGTATAGCTAGCATCCTTTTTTTTCTTTCCCACCTAATTATTTGAGAATAATTTTCTGTATTCCCACTAGTGCCGAGAAGCAGGATGTACATTGAACTCTTCTGAACAAGTTCTTGAGCAAGAATTCTCAAAAATTGTCATATTGATCCAGTGCTCTATGCAACATTTATTGCAGCTGCATTCAACATGAAGTACGAGGGTGAGTCAAATGAAAACCATAATTTTTTTTTTAATTTAATTTATTGAGTGAAAGCGGTACACAACTATATCATTTTTCTACATAGTCTCCATTTCGTTCAATACGGGCCCTCCAGCATTTACGAAGTGTATGTATTCCTCTAGAAAAAAATTCTTGTGGTTGTCTGCGCAACCACTCATGCACTCTTCATCAGAATGGAACTTCTTTCCTCCCATCGCCTCTTTGAGTGGCCCAAACATGTGGTAATCACTTGGGGCTAGGTCTGCTGCAATAGACTCAGGGGTCACAACTCTGTGCGCCTGACCCGGGTGAGGAGCGTTTGCCACAGACGTCACACCACTTCTGAATTTCCTACTCCACTCGTACACTTGCTGCTGTGACAAGCATGCATCACCATACTGAACCTTCATCTATCGATGAACTTCAGTCGGTTTCACACCTTCACTGATCAAAAAACGAATTACAGAACGTTGTTCTTCTTTCGTGCATGTAACTAGTGGAGCAGCCATCTTCAAACTGGCACTGTGATGGCGTTCTGTTTGTCTGCATTATACTGCCACCTATAGGATACTCTTTATAGCATTGGTAACATGTCTGCAAACTTATAGGACAATGGCGCGATATTTCGAATTTTTATCTCAGTTTTACGGCTTTCATTTTAATATAATAATTCATTCACCGTCCATACACAAACTTAAAATGTTAAAATTTACTTAAAATTACATAAAATTACAACATTTTTTATAGAATTAGATCTTGATACATTTCACATTTGACGACATGTTTCGGTGTATTACACCATCATCAGGTCAATCAATTTTAAAAACTGTTTTAAAAACTGTTGCACATCCTGCTCCGCGTATATTGATACGTTTGACTGTTTTGATTTTCTTCCTTTTAATGCTAAGCCACCATCAGCCAACTGTGTTCGCACCACATTTTGTACAGGTATAAAATGTGATAACTTAAGGTTTACATTTGTCAATAAAATAATGTTAGGAGGAATCTTCTTTGAGACATTACCTTATGTAATATAGCTCAACAGCCATTTCGTTATCTATCCGAAACATCGTTCATATTTGAACTGTTTGAACACATTTCTCCTACAAGGTACAAAACACCAATCACAGCTTTTATTGCACAATTGCTTGCCAATTTTGTCTTCATATACAATTGTTTGTTTGAGTCAGTATATTTGTTAGATAATTTTTTCAGTGAATAAGTACTTTCAGGAATTGGATGGGCTTATAGCCTCCTTCACATGCCTTCTGATGCCTGAAGATGGGCATTTATGTTCCAGGAACAAGTCTGGATATTCTTAGTTGAGGTTTCTTTCCATAATTTAGTTTTATCCTTCCCTGGGTAAAAGTAGTTCATCCTATCTTGTATGTCCCTTTCCTTGCAATATTCTGAACAGATAAGTTTTTCAATGTTTATGTTTCCCTTAACTCGACTATATTATCATCTTCATCTGAATCATCCTCTTCATGTGGCGTGGGCTTGGTCAGTAGTTGAAGTATGTTGTCAATGTTGGGAGGATCTGTTCTCTTCATATTCCTTTAACTGCAATCAAAATAAGAAATATTTTAAAACAAACAATAAATTACATCAAATATTTAACATTTATTCAAAAATAATTTTAGAACATACCATAACAAAATATTACATGAGCGGGCCCAGTGACTGGAAATATTTAGTAGCCATGTGTAACACATAGGGAAGATTGCTGTCTTCTGGGTTGTTGCGCCATGTAGTCTGGTAGATGTCCACCAATGTTGATCATTCATCACCCTGATGACGGAGGCAGCGTGACTTCTTAAACGTTGGTGAACATCTACCAGACTATATGGCGCAACAACCCAGAAGACAGAAATCTTCATACTCACCGCCGTGAAAACCTCAAATCTTACAACACGTAGGGAGTTTTCAGTGATACTGACTACTAGCTGATACTAGTGAGAGTAATAGAGAGGTACAGGGAGGATGGGAATTGGAGACAAAAATTTTGTTTTGTGTCGGTTTCATAGATCCAGCATGCCTATTGGAAGGTTAAATGTGTACAGTTATAACTGAAATGCAACTGCATAGAATGTTTCTCTACCAATAAATACCTGCTTTGCAGTTCTGTTACGATTCAGAAGTCTAATAAACTGACCTGAACAAAATAATTATATTTTACCCTGATAAAAATTAAAAAGCAATTGAGAATGTAACGTGCAACGGGGACTGTCGTGCTGTGATTGGCAGTTAACGTGCATCTGCTCCTTATGCCCTGATGCTAGGAAAGTGAAAGTTTGAAGGTTGTTCCACCAAACAGCTGACAAAGCTCGCATGCATCAAGTGATATTGCCAAGTCTGCTGCTGTATCAGCTTGCATGCATCAGTGATATTGCCAAGTCTGCTGCTGTATTTTGTATTCCCATATGTAGCACTTCGTGCAATCAAAATCAAATTCTCAAATATGACATGCATCCAGTGTATTTACAAACAATTTTTTTAAAAAGAGGTGCATATAGTATTTGGATAAATATGGTATTTTTTTACTTCTTATATTCTGAAGTACACTGACTATCTGTTCCATCCAGAGAAAGAAAACAAAGCTTTTTAGTAGTTGTTGCAGATGTTTTATGCACTCGCAGTCTGATTTTTTATCTCTCTTGGATTGTAATTATTGCATGTTGGTTTTGCAGCTCATAATAAAACTTTTAACATCATCTTTCCCAGAAAATGTTTAAGAGTGTTTAAAAAAATATATTTGTATTAATTTAATTTTTGCTTATTTAAAGAGCTGTATGCCTTATTACTCGTGCCAAATATAGTACATGAGTTTACAAAAGGAGAGAAGATTTTGTTAGATCTTAATTACATATTGAAAAATCAACATTAAAACTTTTAACTCTCTTAGTCTTGTACAACTTTGGCTTTTGGGGATGAGCCGTGTGGAATGTTGAAAATCATTTGTTTTGACAAAACATTTGAGTAGTCATCTTCAGAATGACTTGCATCCGCCATCCAATCTTCTAACTTTCCCACCCTTTCTCAGAATATTTTTGTTTGTGTTTTAGAGGTATTTAAATAAATAGTTTTTATTTATTCATTTAAGTGAGCTGAATGCTCAGTTTTATAAATTGAATACATCACATTTGAGTTTAAATATTATTTAATTTAAAATGCAAATGATATGAACATTTTAATTATTCATGTTAGTATTAAGTAAGGGGCACTCCATATGAAATCAACACATGGATGTGGCATCACTGTCAGAGAATTTAATGATAATGTGTGATACCTTATGAAGTAATATACAGTCATTCAGCATCCTAGATATCATTTAACAGATATAAATTTTTGGAAGGTGTATACAAGAGAAAAGTGTCTGGTATGTTATTTTCAAAAAGTTAACCCTCTAGTAACTCAGAAACCTTTATTTTTACTGTAAATTATAGATCTATGAGAATGTTTTTAGGGCATATTTATGTGAGTGTTGTTAGCCAGTTTGAGTATGTAATTTAGTTGAAATGAGTCACTGCCTGCAGTCCCATTTTCAAAAGATTGCCTTTGATATCTGCTCTTGTAATTGCCTCCCACATTTATTCTATTTTATTGTGTGGCTGGATTTTCCCTTACTTCAGTTCTCATGACAATACACATCATCCTCTGATATCAGGAAAACCTCACTCTGATAGTCACTGTCCAGCAACTCACGGTCTATGCTAGATCCAGACTGCACACACAGACTCTGCAAGCGATGCCCTCTGCATCACGCGCTCTCTCCCACACGCATTCATTACCCGGTCTCTGCCGGACTTGGTCTTTGCAGACAGGGTGATACGGAGACAGGATCGTGCAGAGACCGGGTCCGTCAGAGAGAAGGTGTCAGAGACCTGGTCCGTCAGAGAGAGGGTTTGTCAGACTCCGAGTCCTGAAGACACACGTTTTGGCAGGTATCGGGTGGGGAGAATTTTGAAAGAAATTCAAATTTTACAAAATTTTCAAAAAAATGAGAAAATGATGGAAATTGTCCAAAAAGCGAACAAAACTAAACAATTTGAGAATTTTCAAATTCAATTTTTTTTCAAATATTTCGAAATTTGTTGGTTTTGTACGCTTTTTATACAATTTCCAGCATTCTTTGATTTTTCGAAAATTTTGAATAATTTGAAAAGTTTTTCAAAATTCTCCACATCCGAACATCACCAGATGACATCTCTGATAGTCTCGGTCCAGCTACAGACGGTCTCTGATAGACCAGACTCTGCGCACACAGACTCTGCAAGCGTTGGCCTCTGCATCACGCGCGCTCCCCCTGACGCAGTCTCCATCACCCAGTC